GGGAAGATGAGGTAAATCTTGTGAAGGAAATGGAGACAAGACCACCGCAAATCACCCTCCCAATTATGTTGTTTTCACTTCATCTTAATGTCGACGTTCTCGGCAATCTTTCTATCATTCTTCTCTTTTATGACTATTACTATAAGTTTTATAAAAGTTAATTACAATAACACGTAACTAGGTTAACACATGCATGGCTTGAACTGATTTACCCTAATCGATCCAATTAATTATTACCAATGTTTTTGGTTGAAATTATTAGGGTTCGAATCAACACTTCATCTGTGCGTCGACTCAAATAGTTTAATAATCTAGTTAATACAACCGGTAAACAGAAAACAATAGGGGTATAATTTTCTCTAAATATTTTCTCATTTTACATTTCTGGAGTACAAGTGCAAGTGCTCTTTTCTTTGCAAAACTCAAATCTAATTTCAAAAAGTGAGCGAATGAGGTGTCAAATGACACCCTTGAAAACATGAAAAGAAGCAAAAAGACCTACTACTGAGTTCTTCTTCTTCTTCTTCAGACTACACAGTCTACAGTTCTAGTTCTACTTCTGAGAAGTATGGTACTCTGATGAAGAGAAGTGTGTGAGGCTTCTTTATTATGCATTTGTTTTTGATTGATGTGAAAAGTGTAATAAATCAAATATATTCAATATCTCTTAACATATATCATCAGAAAGTATGCATGATTGAAGGCCTGCATTGTGTTCAATTATTGCAATGATCCTAAAAGCATGACATCTCTGACTCCATCCATTCATCCACACACACACACACCCCCCCACCTCCACTGTGTGTTTATTTTTTCCCTCACAAATTTAAGGTAAGAAGGAAATTATTAATTTTGGTTCATGGGAAACCCTTTTGAAAATTAAAAGCTAACCCCCCATGCGCGTGGACCCGCCTCTCTCACACACACACACACACACGTAGTTGTAGTAGCGCTACTAGCGTATCTATTCATCATTGATTACTATCATTATTATTATCATCAACACCATCATCATTCTCATCATCATGCAACCAACACACACACCTGCGTACTGCGTGATCTTGATTAAATTCACGCTCCTAAGCCCCCTATAGTTTTGGAATTTCAAAATTTTCGATTCTACCAGCAACACATGCAAATGTGTATTCATGAAACCCTATGATCTACCACGAAGGTGATAATCTAATTTAATGATTATTTTACAACACTTAAATAAGATTGTTTTGTCGATAAGTTAACTATATATAATGTAAATATTACTACTTTTAAATGTTGGAAGAACTGTTCATAAATCAAAATGTACAATTATTCAAATGGTGGTTCATAATACCCTAATTGCTTAACAACAAAACAAAAATAGATCATCTCTCATTGGATTCATTTGGAGTCATTGGATACCAATGCGGATCAAAGCTTTTAATGATTGTCATGAGAGGTGTGACATTTATATCTCTAGGATGCTGCTACTTTGTGCTATACATATACTACATCATTAACATGAGCAGTGTAGAAGTAGTAGTGTCATTTCGATTCTAGAAATAAACGAATAAACGAAGGGAAATGAGGGGGTAGGTATTACCACACACACAGACTTACTAATGACTTTCCCTGGGAATAGTTAAAACCTGGTCGACTCATTGTCTGCTCAACTTAATACATATGGGTGGAGGAAGTTATGGTCAAACCCCTTCATTTTTCCGACCATAACTTTTCTCTTGTCTATCCATCTTTCTCTTTACTTTCTTCCAAAAGTGTGTGCCTTTTGTTTTTGTTAGTTACTACTACCATGATTCGTCATATTAAAAAAACAAAAGAAAAAAGGCAGCCTTTAATTAATAATTTTTAAGTATATCCTATACTAGTAAATCCAAGTTAGCCAATGATTAAATTAAGTGTGCGTTGTAGTAGTTGTGAACACAGAATAAAAGCTCATAATGTATGCATCATTTCGACCGCATGTTCTATCTACCTAGCTGCTCATTCTTGATTAATATGCTCACCAACTTGACGATAATTTGAAGGTTTCTTACAGTTAAAAAATAAAAAATAAAAGAAAGAATGATCAGATCAGAAGAGGTTCATACATGAATATATCATACCCCCACATTTTAAAATGCAAAGATCCCGTACGCTATCTTCTAATTAATCAAAGCAGTGTATATTCGGGAAAAAAAAAAAAAAAAACTCCGTGGAATTAGGTTAGGTAAAGCTCCCATATTTTTTGTGTATTAGTTATTTAATTTCCTGTGCCATCAATGTTTTAAGCTAAACATGTTGCTAATTTTTATTACAATCGGTGCTTCTTCTTCTTCTTTTGAGCTTTTTAAAATCATACTTGATTGTCGTCATTTCGATGACTCGGTAGTGAAATTGAACACACTATTTCTCCTTCCGTCTTTGATTAGGAATGTCATAGTTATACTAATCTTTTCAACCGACCGAGGTGAAGACACATCCACAAATTAATACTCCCTCTGTCCCAAAATTATTGTCCAGTTTAAGATTTCATTTTTAGTACAATTTGAGCTAAAAATGAAAACTCAAACTGGACAATAATTATGGGACGGAGGGAGTATATAACATAATAGAGATAGAAATAAGATAATAATTGCGCATCACTAATGATGGCTCATCATTTGAATAATGATCCATATTTTCCATTATAACATGGCCCTTATTTGTTGTACCTTAATTTTGATTTGAGCTAAAAGTAGAAGAGGAAATAATATATATATATATATATATATATATATAAAAGCATGACTTTTTTATTCAATTTTTCTTTTTTGACGAAGAATAACTTTGCAAGCCGGACTATAAATATTTTTATTATTACAGCACATCATAACTGAGTATTAAAGACCAAGAAAACAACTCCAAAAACGGGTCATAGGAAATATCTTCTAGAGAAAACAAATTAATTTTTTTTCAAAAAAAAAAAAGTAGCAAAACAAAATTGACAATTATTAAGCCTCCTTCTTCTTGTTGGCTTGGCTGGATGAAGTTGATGTCGTTGTGCCATGGGGAAGCAAACCTCGTACGATAGATAGGATAGTAAAGAAGAGAATAAGTGTGAAGATAGCTAGTTCAAGTTTATACTTTTCTATCCTATACTTGTAGGGAAGGATACCTGCTAGTGCAACAACCATGGTAGGAAGAGTTGATGATCCATACATCAAACATGTGGTTTTGTACCATGATTTTGATCTTGATTTCCCGTATAAACACAGCAGCGCAAGAGGCCACTGGAAGAGGAATTCAGCCCATATAAAATTGTCGAGTACCATAGTGTTAGGAGGCCTCTTGAATACAGCAACCCATAATTTGTGATGAATATTTGGAGGAAGAAGCATTGGTGCATCAAGCACAGGAAATACCAGGGACATTGTTAGGAAGAATATGAATAGAACAGCATCTATGAGTTTGATGATCACAAGTACTTCATGATCTCCCATTAGTTATATTGATCTATAGTGTTGAAGTAAACAGACTACTTTAATTAGGACGTTTAATTAATATATATTGTCCGCCGAGCTCCAAACTTTTGTTTTGTTTTTCCGGTAAGTTGGGAAATGCCATGCATTAATGTACAACTATCTTGTAAATCATCGAGAAGGTTACACTAGCTGTTAATACTCTTTACCAACTCTTTCCGTTCAAAAATGATTATTTAGTTTAAATTTTTTTTATGATCTGATTCAAAATATATAAAAATAAAAATTATAACTGGACAATCATTTTGGGATAAAAAGAATAGTAATAAGATGAAATTATTCAACAAGTAAATGACGCGATGATATTTATAGAAAGACATTAGTATCTTTTTCAAAATTTGATAATTGTGTTTTGTGGCATTAGATTGACACATTATTTCTTCTTCAAAATGATTTGTATACGTCTGCCGTCCTTGGTTTGTCCCTTTGTGGAGTGTTTCGTATCTCATCGTATTAAAACAATTTGTAAGTTGCAAGTTGTCCTTAGAAAAACAAGATAAAATTTAGCTGAAAATAGGTCTTCAAAGCCATCGGCCCCCTCGACCCCATCATCATTCATCATGAATTCATCTTAAAACTCGACAGCAAAAGGTCGTGATGACATTAACAATCTATATACATATAATATACATATATATTGATATTTCTCTCTCAAAAAAGCCACTCCTACAATTATTCCTCCCAAGTATAGTAAGGTGTACTACACTAACCAGCACATCCGTAAGTATTCACTGTGATTGTGACTCGACAAAACTGTAGAGCTCGAAATACATACATATATATATATATATATATATCCTACATCTTCAAAATCCCATTTATTATTTTATTTCCTCGAACACTAAACAATTATTAATACCACCAAACTACACTAACTAGTACGTAGTACAAGAATCTCATGCATCAAACCCCTCTGTTTCTCTCTCACACAGCGAGAACCCTTATGAATGCGAACAGTTCGTCAGACGGTTGAATACGTATAGGATAGAAATTCGATTTGTACGAGCTTGTAAGAGATATATAAATTTTGTCTACATTGTCTTTTGGAAAAAGGAAAAAAAAATAGACCTGCTTCTCCAGTCCTACTAATCATATATACTCCTCACTGAAAGTCATCAATTAAAACTAAGACGAAAATTATAAATAAACTTTTCTGTTCCAAAATTATTTTTTAATTTAAATTTTTAATTTTAGTATAATTTAAATTGTAAATAAAAATCCAAACTGAATCTACCAAAACTTTGAATATGGTCTTGTGCGTGTGTATTAATATAGAATCACGTGCGTTGTTCAACTAAAGAACTTTGTCGGTCAATTTTTACACCTCCCATTTGTATATTCCCACAATCCCAATATTCACTAATTAATTTCTTTTACTATATTTTTCTTGTTCGAATTTTGTTTTTTTTCTAAAATAATAAATGGTGGATGCCTTTTTTGGTTTTCTTAAATTCCTGCTTGGCAAGCAGGCTCAAATAAATATATATATCTCAGTGCTGATCATCATCATCATCAATCATCATCACCATATATATCTTCAAACATTCTCTCTACCCATTTTTTCCTTCAAGTCTAGCTTTTTCTTCCCCCCGGCATCTCCTTCTTCCTCAACAACAAACCCAAAATAAATCAGCTTCTTTTTTTCTTCTTCTTCTTTTGATCCTTGAAACTAGTTCATAGAGAACTCTCTTCAACACCAGATATATAATGGAGCTGGCTTTGAGCCTGGGAGAAAACACCACCCCAAAACCCTTTTCATCATCATCATTTCTTGATAAACCACCACCCCAGAAAAGGTCCATTGATCTAGGGTTTTGCATGGGAAATCTTGTAAATTCTCGTGAAGAAGAAGAAGAAGAAGAGAGAAGAGAAGGGTCATCGCCGCCGGTGCAGCTTGAACTTCTTCCATTTTCTCCGGTCATCCAAAGAAGAACAAGTCAAACTAGTACAGCTGCGGCAGTTGTTGTACCTCCACCAAACCAGCTCATGACCTTTTCTTGGCTCTCCCATAACTGTACGTTCCCTCATTGATCCCCACCTCAATTATTCTCCTCTCTTCTTATTAATTACTAATATATTTCTTAGTTTTACTAGTATTTTATTTTTTCACGTATGTACTATATATTTTTGTAATTTTGGAATAAGAAAAAAAATAAAAAAGAAGGAAATGGATCATGTGTAAATATTCCTTAAAATTATATAAAATCTAAAATCTACTCATTGAAGATCTTGCTAGCTACCAAGCCTTCCTTTTTTTCCGTTTTTGTTCTTAAGTTGTTGTTTTGTGTGTGTTCTTATGTATAATGGACATCTTTAATCATCTCTCCCTTGATTTAAGATTTCAACAAGCAAACCTTAATGTTAAGGTTTTATTTGAAAAATATTCTACACTTTTTTATGGTTTTGAAATCAACCATATATGGGGCCATTTCACATTATTCAACAACCCCTTCATGATCGTAAATGTGGGAAATATGTAACAATATTTTATTTTCCAAAAAACTTTTGAAATTTGTTTTACTTGATCATTAATTGTATATGAGCAGCTAGCCAGCCAGCTTCATCTGAATTTCCTATGGCTATATAATCTAACAGTAAAGGTGGCTACTGAACCGGGTTCATCGGCCGGACAAGGAAGAGGAAAGGTGGAAGTAGTAGTGAACCGGACATCATCATCATCATCACCACCAAACAGTGCTACTAACTCAGCAGCCTCATCTTTCCAGATGGATTTCCTAATGTACACAAATAATAATGGATCAAGATCATCAAACAGTACAGGCAGCAACAAAAGGGATTATTTTGATTTACAAAACACTCTTATTCATAGTAATAATTATAATCGCGAAGGAGGCGAGAATTGTCATGCTAGTCCAAGAGGAGCAAGTGATCAAGATCAAGAAGATGAGAATGGATTAACGGCTGCTGCCAGAAAAAAGCTCAGGCTAACCAAACAGCAATCAGCATTCCTCGAAGAAAGCTTCAAAGAACACAACACTCTTAATCCCGTAAGTGTGTGTACATGATCAAATTTCATTTTCTGGATCTTTTATGTAGTGATTTTATATACTGATTTCTTTTTTTAATTTGATGGTGCAGAAACAAAAGTTAGCATTGGCTAAGCAGTTGAATCTTCGCCCTCGCCAAGTAGAAGTGTGGTTCCAAAATAGAAGAGCCAGGTACTTTTATATCAAAATTAATCTCTACAACTTTGTTTTTGTTTCGAGGATTTTTCTTTTTCCAATAAGTACGTAATGTGGAATTTTTTTCTGGGGCCAAGGACTTGCTGTAGATGTATATAATTAAGATACCCTTCCAAAAATAGTAATAGTATGGTTGATGTACTTGAAGAAAGTTGTTGGTTTTTTATTTTTTTAATTAATTTCCTAAGAATTTTGTTGTATAAATCAATGTCAACAGCAAAATGTAATGTAGTACATCCAACATAATTAATGAATTGGGTGTGACAAAGTCCTCGTGAATATCATGAGGAAAATTGAATGTGTGACATCGTGGATGGCCTTTAATTTCTTCAACTAGGTAGGAGTAATTAATGGAAGAATTGTTAATGAGAGTTTATAATGGAAAAATTAATCCAGGACAAAGTTGAAGCAGACAGAGGTAGATTGTGAGCATTTAAAGAGATGCTGCGAGAAACTGACAGAAGAGAACCGGAGGTTGCAAAAGGAGCTTCAGGAATTAAGAGCTTTGAAGTCTTCTCAGCCATTTTACATGCAACTTCCTCCCACCACTCTCACTATGTGTCCTTCTTGTGAACGTGTCGCCACCGCCACCAATACGGCCAATGCCGCCCCGGCTGATGTATCTCCGGAAGGATGCACGGCCGACGCGGCCAACACGACGTTATCTCTCGCTAAACCTAGGGATCATCAGCTTCTTCTTCCATTTCCAACATCTAAAGTTCATCAAGCTACCAAGTCAGCTGCCTCATGACTTACGTGGTGCATGTACAAGTGTTTGTTTATTTTTTTTTTTAATTACTTCTCATTTATATACTCCCAAAAAAAACATATGTAAATTAATCGTGAATTTTTGTTATTTTTTTTCTTTTGGGGGAACATGTTTTTTCCTAGTAAACCACTAATTAACGATTTCGCAAGTTTAGATAGTGAGGATGTTTGGGAGAGTGATGTTGCTAGGTAGGAAGACTTGGAACTAATATACAGCAAACAAAAAATTTTTATTTAATATTTTTTGTTTACTGAATTTCCAATTGAATCGGAATGTGTAGTGTTTTTGAGTTTATGTATTTTTTCCATAATCACAAATGGATATCTTTCTCGTTTTCTTTTTTTTCTTTGGTAAAATTTTTTCTTCCCATAAACGCATATCTCTTTCTTCTTTTCACAAACATGTATGGAAAATAGATTGAAGTGGAATGAGAGATTTTCTCTACGTGAACGTAGAGCCCACCTGGATAGGTTTTTTTAATTATAGTAGTATAAAATAAGATTTAATTCATTCTGAATATTATAATCAACGCTTACCATCCATTTTTCTTCAATTTATTTCTTCATTTAGTTAAATAAAACATTATGAACGCAATTGGAGATTGTAATAAATAATTTGCAAAAACGGACTTAAAATCGTCATTTTGTTTTTTCCTCTTTTCGGCAGTACAATTCTTAAAAATTAAAAAAGGACAATAAACAGCATGAAGGCCCAACTTTTTTAATGAGGTGGCCCAAGAATATCCATTTCCAAAAACTAACATGGGCCTATTGGATCGTTTGTGATTTGAGGTCCATTACGCAGCGTAGCAGAACCAACACTATAGTATGCTGCTAATTGTGTTAATACTACAATGACGAGCTTGAGAGTTTGAGAGTCAATTTCAAGTTATTTATTGTACATGGTTTATAAGATCTTTTGGAGCAAAAATAATAAAAACGTAAATTGCGTCAATCGTGATGTATTAGGTTGTCTCTGCAAAATCGTGTCGTCGTGTCAGAATCCTAATTGAGACGGAGTACTATTATAGAAGTTGAGGACAGATAAAGACATCGGAATCCAACATGGGCTTTAAGCCATCGAGGGAGATGACGAGGAAGGAGGCTGACGGCCAGGTGATGAACTGCAAGGTTAATAGAAACCATCATGTTGAGATTTGAGTGCAATTCGACTTGTGTGCATTTCTCTGTGGAGTTAGGATTTGGTAAAACTGTAACTTCCATATTCCATCAATTGTAGAGTTTGGATTTGCCATCCAAGTTTTGGCTTTGGTAAATTTAACTTTTTTTTGAATATTATGTGACTTGTGCAAGAAATGGATTTCCTTACATAGTTACATATGTCTCTCGATGTGTTAACATGTTCATAATGATGGATTTCCTTACATAGTTACATATGTCTCTCGATGTGTTAACATGTTCATAATGTCTGAAAATTGGCAAGGGTACGTATATCTTACTATAATTATCACTTAGGTAGTTATATGGTATTTTACCGTCCCGTAATTATTGTCCGTTTGAATTTTTAATTTTACTACTCTTTCTGCCCCAAAAAAATAGTTCACATTGAATGTTGATAATTATACTAATTTTAGTATAAATTTGAGAATTGAAGGTGAACAATTTTTCTGGGACAAAGAGACTATAATTTACACTAATTTTAAAATTTCAAACCAGAGAAAAACTTTCGGATAGAGGGAGTACTAAGTTTTCCTACCATTTAATCTTACCAATTTTAATATTTTAACCAGCTGCCCCATCTATCGAAATGCCTACAATTCAGCGAATGGGATTAGTCACTGTTGCCGACGGTTAGTTGTTTCCCCGATACTCTGCCGAGAGTTTCATGGATATTTGACAGTGTGAATACCATACGCGCATGAAATTAATCATGAATGGATTGATAAATCTGATCTATGCTTTTTGGCATTCTCTCTGTTCCCAAATGATGGTCTAGTATGAGATTTCATTTTTAATACTATAAAATTAAAAATTCAAATGAGAAAACCATTTTGCAACGGAAGGAGTATATGTTTCCATAATTTTTTCATGGTAGCGTTGCATATGACTTCCAAATGTGGGAACTTACAAGCTTGGAGACCTTCCTCTCTGGCTCTCTGAGATCCATTCTATATGGTTGTTGTTCCTTACTATAAATTCACAAGTCCAAGCCAGTCTCAAACACACGTATTGGCCGGGTAATATTCTCTCCGACTTAAAATTATTGTCCATTTTAATTTTTCATTTTTTAAAAAAATTGAACTAAAATAAAAATTCAAACTAGACAATAATTTTGGGACATATAAAATAAGATAAAATTAATGCGTAAATTGAACCAGTTATAGTGTCGAAGTCGGAATGGAAGAGAGACAATATCAGGATTCCAGCATGCCTGTGGCGGTGGTAGTGGTGGTCCAGTGGTGGTCTAAAAATATTATTAGTTTATTTAAAATATCACCCAAACAAATTTTTAAATTTTATCTCAAATCACATTTTAAATCACATCTCAAACCCAAATCAAAAATTAAAACAAAAACTAAAACAAAATGTTGGCCAAACAAACCCTAAATATTTCACGGTAAAATATAACAACTTAATACATAACAGCATTATGTATATGCCATTTACTACGAAAGAATTATAATCTACAAGCAATGAGGTGATACTGTGATAGTTCTAAATAATAAATAGGAAGATTCCCATGGAATTATCATTTTTTTTATTGTTTTCCTCTATTTTTTTTTTTTTGTCAGTAATGAGGTGATACTGTGACAGTTTTATATCCAAATTTTAAAGTTTTTATTAAAATTACATTGTTGAATTAAATGTATTTTTAATAAAAGGTTAAAATAGTTCAATAGTTTACCAAAAGAAAGTAAAAGTTTAGCCATAATTCAATCAAAATGAAACTAAAAATGGTGACATGCAGTGCCATTAAACCCGCCATAATTTAGTCCACTTTTTTCACTAAAAATGGTGATTAAAATTAGGCAAAACATTATCATGTGAAACTCAATCATCAAAAAACAAAAATGTGCCTTCAGCATACATAAAGGGGTTCTTAGAGGATTGAAATGTTATGCGATAGAAAGTCGTAGAGTTTTTCTTGTTATATTTATTTCATGTGAATGATAGTTTCGGTTGTTAGACTATTGGCTATTGCCTCCCTCAGTATACAAAAAAAAAAAAGAAGAAAAAAAGAAAGAGAGAAGAAGAAAAGCATCCAAAGTATAGAAGTAAATCTAGAGTTTCGGCGAGCAGAACTATCTTACTCTTCGCATAAACGAAAGATTCGGCGATATAGTTTGCAGTTTCAGTAAGCCAGCCCAGAGTCCCAATCCATCAGCATATTACTACTCGTTCTGATCTCTTCCTCCACTCCCAAAGGGCGGCGGCGGAGCGGAGGCGGGTAGAGTAATGGAAGGAGCGGATCCGGAGGCGGAAAGTTTGGATTCGGATTTGGAAGAAGAGTTCTACGATGCAATTAATAACGACAGAAAGGATGTGTTTGTGAGATTTTGGAACAACCTTACCCCGAACCAAGTTGAGATGTATAATCCTTTGGGTTCGCTGTTTCATTGAGATGCCGTACACTGTTTGGACGCCGTGCTGAATGCAGGAGAAACCGCTGCATTGTCCGAAATCAATGTCAATTCTGTTCCTTTCCCACACTCTGATCGTTATGATGGACGACGTCGACAACGAGTTCCAGTTTTGCATTCCGCTGCTAGTTGCTGGTTGATTCGCTCTGCTTGTTTTCTTCTTTCTTCCTTTGTACTCCACTGCGCATATAGACTCAATGCTTTGCTTTGTACCACGTGAGATTATGTAGTTACATATACAATAAATAGAGTAAAATCCTCCCCGATCTTTAATATAAGACATTTTGATTAGTCTGTATCTATTTTAATTGACAAAAAAAATTTTAAATATATTTTCACATTCATTATATATTTCTAATTATTACAAAGTATTTTTAATTTTCTTTTCCGCAATTAAAAATGAATGCTAGGTGAAATGTACCATAAATCAAAATAACTTATGTTAAGGATTGGAAGGACTAATAATTTTGGTTTACGAGAGTTTTAACGATTAAAAAATAGGGCATGCGAATACTTGGTACACTAAAAATAACAAGATACAGAACCTGTACCCAAAAATTTTTTGTAGGAAGGAAATGTAAGTTTTTAACTTTAGCTTGATCTTCCTTTTTGGTCTCCCTTGACATATATACCAGGTCTGAGATTGAGGATCGCAGTTTTTGTCCACCGCACCACCATAGGACGATGCCCCATGAACCACCCTCAGAATGGATATCGAAACCTAGTTTAGAGGAACCGGAGTGGCTTTTGTTCAAGTTAATTTTCCATCTTTGTTATCCACTTCGCGTTAGTCCTCCTTCTCCTCCCACTCGCTCTTTTGTGAGATTCACATTAATGTTTTATAGGAGACTGTTTTATTAATGAGTATGCAAATGAACGTGGCACTATATATATCTCATAGTTTTTGGTTTTCATCATAGAGACAAGATGGTGAAATTGTGAGATTGCTGGCTTCCAAAACTGTTGAACTCGAACAAGAATTACTCAAGTATGTGAAAGAACGGAAACTGCTATTGTTATGCCTAGGTTGGAAAGAGGCTCTAAAATTCGAGATGTTGTTCTCAAAGAGATCGCAGCTCAGAAAATATTCATTTTTAGGTCCACTTATGAAATCGACAATGACAATTTGATTTTTGAGGCCCAAAAGAAGAAGATGGAGATGAAAGCCATACTATTGTTGTTTGAAATATTCGACAGAATCGGCAACAAAATTGAAGCTTACTTACATTGCACTGAAGAAGAAGAAATTTCTGTCAACAACTTGTTCGAAAGAGTACTGCTTTTTTTTTTTTTTGCACATCTAGAGTCATTAACCCTCTTTCGAGTTTTCACCGAATGGAACTGTTGTTTCAAAATTTTTGAAATCAGTTATATATTATGTTGCTATAGGATTCAAAGCATGTTGATGTTAGAGATTTCTTGGCTCTTGAAGGAAGCAGGGTTTGATGCAGAGTTTGAACTCTTAGATGAAAAAAGGTTTTGATTCCTAGTTGTTCTTAAATTTTTCTTCTTTTTTTCTGTGTTCTTGGACATTCTGCATGGTAAATCAACTTACAAACTTTTCCTTTTTGTTTATTCAATGACTGGGGACTGATGCTTCACCTTATGTTCTTCCTCATCTTTTTATTCATTTCACATAAACATCATGTTTTTAATATTATCTTCTACTCCCTCCGTCCTGAAATTACTGTCCAGCTCAATCTGGACAGTAATTTCAGGACGGAGGGCTCATGTGCATTTGTCTGTGTACTTCCTGTTACTCGTTGCTATATTAAATTTCAATTGGGGTTTGTCATCCAAGTTTTCTACTGTGTGATTTTAACTTATGAGTATCAAGTGATTTGTGCTAGAAATTGATTTCCTTGAGTTACAACATGTTTCTCTTTATATGACTAACATTTTGCACAATGTTTGAAAATCTTCAGGGATAAATTTTTATATTCAAGTAGTGGTCTTTTACATAAGTATATATCGTACATTTTGCTGTCAATCAGTGTTATCAATTTTAGGAGCGAATAAGATTATAGATAGGGTCATCTGACTTATATCGTTTTCACGATGCAGGTCCCGAGAAGGATTCTTAACAGAATGCATCTCAAAGGATGGGAAATTGGATACTGGAGAATTAGGTGAAGATGCTGGCGAAGCGGAAGGACCAGGAGAACTGGGTAAAGAAGCCATAGGAATGGGGGAAATAGGAGAAGAAGCAACAGGTGCAGGATTCGACGCATGCACACCAGGAGAACTGGTTACACGCAACCAAGGGGTGGCACTGAACTGCGGCTGCTAAGATGGAGAACTAGAGAGGGGACGTTTAAAGGGAAAGAGTTGCTCATCAAACTCGACATGATGAGCAACATAAAGACGATTACTCACCAGATCAAAGCAGCGATAACCGAGATGAGACGGAGAATACCCAAGAAAGACACACTGAGTAGAGCGAAAAGAGAACTTATGCCGATTATATGGGCGAAGAAGAGGATAGACAGCACATCCAAAAACACGAAGAAAGGTATAATCAGGTGGCTGGTGATATGGTGTAGTGAAGGGTATTTGACCTTAAAGAGGTTTACTAGGGTGGCGATTAATCAAGAAAACAGCAGTTTCAAAAGCAAAGTCCCAAAACCGAAAAGGAGTACTAGAATGACCGAGGAGAACAAGTCCAATGTCAACAATGTGACAAATTTTGCGTTCAGCAGTGCCATTCTGCTCATGAGTGTGAGGGCACGCTAGACGATGAGCAATACCGACATCCTTAAAGAATGAATTCAGAGGACGAAATTCACCACCCCAATCTGAGTTGACACTTTTAATAGTGGTGCCAAATTGGTTTTCTACAAGAACTTTGAACTGCTTAAAAACATGAATAACGTCACTTTTATGCTTAATTGGATAAATCCACGTGAATGAAGAAAAATCATTAATGAAAAGCACAAAGTAACGATAGCCATTAAAGGACAAAATAGGAGCAGGACCCCAAACATCAGTGTGGATTAACTCAGCGGTTTAGAACTACGATGAATGTAGATGGTAAACTAACCCTATGCAACTTTCCTAGACAACACGCCTCGCATTTATCAGTAGACGCGGACATAGAGGAATAAGGGAGTTGAAACTGCTTAACCAAAGCACGAAGAGTGACATTATTAGGGTGCCCTAAACGAGTATGCCATTGGCCTAAGGAAATGAGATAAGCTGTCGGAGACAATGAATCACGAGCAGGAAGATCTAACCGATAGAGGCCATTATCAGCCTTACCTTGGAGAAGCAGTTCCTTGGTTGATAGATCCTTAACACAACAGGAGTCTGAATAAAATTCAACGAAACAGTGATTATCCCGTGTGAAATATTGAAGATAATAAAGGTTTAGTGAGATTAGGGGCATGCAGGACACGATTTAAATAGAGAGGACGAGAAGATGATGGCAAAACAGATTGACCAACATGCTTAATAGGTAAAGCAGCACCATTACCAACTAAAATATGATTTGTACCAGTATAATCACTGGCGATGTTGAGAGACGACAAATCTGGTGTTGCATGAGTGGTAGCACCAGTGTCAGGATGCATGGAGTGGGAGGAGCAACATACTTGACTATATCTGCTTGAGGATGTTTAGTGCGAAGAGAGAAATTGGAGTCAAAACGATGAGAACAAGTGAAGGCAGTGTGATTGGGAATATAACAGAGCTGACAGACTGTTCCCGGGTGAAAATGGGAGTCAAAACGACGAGAGCAAGTGAACGCGATGTGATTGGGAATGCCTCATAACTGACATACCGTTTTTGGAGGTACAGTAAGAGGTACAGTAAAAGAAGAGGCAGAAGAACGGAGTGGAGAAGTCATCTCTTAGAGTAAATTAGAGGGATTGAGTTATCAAATATATTAATTAAGGGACTGACTTGCAAGAATCACAAACTAGCAGGACTATTTTTTACAAAAGGAAAACTAGAGGGGCTGATTTGGTAAAGATATGAATTAGAAGAGCTATAACGGCAATACTTGTAATTTGGCCAACCAAAGGTCCGTGAAGATGATGATAATGATAGAATATGGATGATTGGTGGTGATGGCAGCAACCGCAAGTAATCAGGTTGCTTTTTTTTTTCCCCCGCTCCGAGAAAGCTTCACACAATAACGACAATATCACCAACAAATAGCAGCAGGCGGAGGCTACCAAAAATAACAAAACAACAGGTAGCAACGTCAACAATTGACAGGAGGGAGAATAAGCTCGAAGAGACCAAACCCGACAGTAGAAGACAGCCCCAAAGAACAACACCAGGACTGAGAGAGAGCAGCAAGCAGGCAGTGGGAGCAGCAACGAACAACAACAACGATGGCGGTGACAGCGGCGTGTCGAGGCGGCAACGGCAGCAACGAAAGGAGAGTAGAAGGGCAGTCCAAGGTCGCCGAAGAAGAGAACTAGAAGAGGAGCAAGACCACACACCGGCAAAAGAGATAGTAACGTGGTCGACGGTGAAGACGAAAAAGATTGATGGCCGAGAAAGAGGAAAAAAGTGACGGCCAAAAAATAAAACCATAGCTCTATACCAAGTTAGAATAACTGAGATTATGTTTCATACATGAATATTATGTACAATATACAGGGTATATATAGACAATTAGTAAACCCTATACAGAAGGCTATAACCGTAAATACATATATTACAATATCGGAAGGCAAAAGTTAATAATGAGGTATGCAGGCTCTGCGAAGGGTTAATTCTTACTACTAATGAATTCACACTTCAATCTTGCACAACTTACTTATGAAGCTCACATTTTGTCCCAGTCTACGCCAGCCTCATCGCTTTGGTTGATGAACAAGATGAAATTACTAGAGAATATGGACTTCCGTATTGAACCCAGCTTTCGAATTGGATTATGTCATACGCATCATTTTGTGAGAGGCTGCCGTGGCTATGGTACCTCTGCAATCTCCAGGTCGTTCCACCATAAACACCATTTTGTGAGAGCAAGTGGCGATCTGGAATCTACCACAATAAATACAGTGAATGGCAAGCAGTCCATGTCGCAATGGAAGAGACAATATCAGGATTCCGGCGAGTCGGCGAGGATAACTAGGGTGTGTAGTTGGGCATCAATTTTGCAGTTCAACAGAGAATATGCAAAAGGCGAAGGATTTTTTGGATCATTAATAAGCTGGGCCGTGCATTTTGGAGTATATAACATTCTGTTTTCTTGTTCAGTCGTTGAAATTTTTTATTTTTTTTTTTGGGTCCAATAATATCATTACTGGAAAAAAAAATTGATGTTAGTGTTGATTCTTGTATCTCTTGGTTTCATATGGAAGTAGTAGTAATTTGTTGATATTAATGATGGTTAGGGGTCAAAAGTAATATGATGGCGTGCTTGACAGAGCCATTAAACCCGCCATAATTCAGTCCACTTTTTTCACTAAAAATGGTGATTAAAATTAGTCAAAACATTATCATGTGAAGCTCAATTTAAAAAAGAAAAGCTAAGGTAGTAGAAAAGCATCCAAAGTGTGGAAGTAAACATGAATCACTCACTAATCATCATCTCCCAAAATTCCTGGCCGGTCATCAAAAGCAGCAATCGAAAAACCGGTTTCTAATAAGACTCGCACCAAAAATCATTCCCGGCTATGACTTGTGTTCCCAGACATTATCAAAAAAAGGTTGACAACAAAAGGTGCGCAAAAGGAAAAGGTTTACTGTTATCTAAACTCTTAAGTTAGATACAACAACGTTGGCTCAACGTGCAAGATTGCCCGCGCACCCAACTTATTTTGGTTTTTATCATATCCTACTATATTAGAAACAAAAACATACCTTTCAAACACCTCATATGATTGCTACGTAGCATGTAAAAAGTACTAAATTGCTCTTTTGTCTAACCATAACTAAATTACTAAATTTCTCTTTCCACTTTACGTGACACATTTTTTTTTATTTAATTTTTTCTTTATGTTTCATTCAACTAGAGTGGTTTTTTAAATTGAATTGATCAATTAGGTTTTTGTTACAAAGTGTCAACTTTGTTTTAAGCGTATACCCTTCGCATAAAGCTTATTACAAAACTATTAAAAATCTCCAAAACTAATTATTGATTTAGCACGACCAATGGAGAATATCAATAAATCATCTTACTAATATTTAAATTTATTAGGATCCTTTTATATTTTATTTAACATTTACTTCAACACATTTATTCGATTAAGGCTATTTATATTTAATAAATAACACTTATAAAACATTTCTAAAACATATATGGCGAAATACAATTTCTTTCTTTTTTTTTGTGTGAAATACAAATATTTCTATGATCACACTTATAAAACATTTCTAAATCTTTCAAACATTTCTAAAATATATCTCTACAAATACAAAATTTTATTTTTTTTCAAATATAAATATTTCTAAGATCTACAGATCGGCTGGGCCAGGTCGCGCCATACATCACTAGTAATTTAAGAATCAAAGACCCTGGATCTGAATCTAGTGTTTTTTTAAAAAATATATATATATATAAAATAAAATAAATGCTTCAGGAACATTCGTAGATCCGACAAAGATACATAGAATGGACAGACAAGCAGTATGATCAAGGGAATAGTTTTACATTCCCTTATTATATTCAAGAAATTGTATTACTATAATGGTGCCCCTAATCATTTCTTTTATATAACCATTTACAAATCTCCATACCCTTTTGGGCAGCAGCAAGGATTTCTTCTTCCTTAAGAGAGTCATTTCTTAATTGTGTATTCTTCTCATACAAAATCTAAGTACAATTTACTACTAAAATAGTACTCTTCACCTCTCTCTCTCTCTCTCTCTCTCTCACTTTTTATATATTTTTACTATTATAAACTCTTGGACATTCTTCTCCAAGTCCAATGTTGTTTCCTTTTTTTTTTGTATCTAACTATTCTAGTTTTTTTTTTCTTTTCTGTTTTTTTACCCCCAAAGGTGACAACAACAAAACTGTCATTCACATTCACATTCTTCTGCACAAAACTCAACAAACTTACTTCTGTACCTATGATCCTTTGTTTTCTCCTTGTTTCCTTTGGTATTGTTTTGCCAGGATTTGGGCGTAAAGTATCTCGTTCCAGGTGTCCGGCACACCTGGTAGGCACCAGTGGCTGCAGTCCTGGATTTGGAGATCTTCCGATGGGTGTACCTTCCTGTAGACGGATGGATGGCCATCCTTTCTGTAGTCGGTCAGTCTAGTAACGTTGAGGTAGGAGACTGGAGTTTTCATGTTCTTCAAGATATTCTCGAGGACAATCATCTTGGATGGATATGCGGCGAGGTAGGTCTCGTTCTTGATCGGCTCTGTCTCGTGATCGCATGCGCCACCGGAATTCCACTGCCCCCCACTGCATTGAAACAGAGTCAAAATGCTTCACTCCACTGTCTCCAAAACAGACTTCATTTTTTTGAAAATGTGCCCAAAAAATCTACAAGTTAGTATTTGTTTCTAGTGTCAATGACACTATAAACAAATACTAGCTTTGTTATCACATTCTACAGCTTCAACTTGCAAATAAGAAGTCTCTTAATCAAATGCGGATAACAAAATAACAAGAAGAAGGCCAGAGTTTTCTAAAAATTTGACTATGTCAAAAATGGTACTTTTGAAATGCTGTTTTTACCTGAAATGAGATGCAGAGTAACCTCTGAAGAAAACATGACTTTTATTGGGATTAATGTTGGAATCTACCCATCTTGCCCAAGTGGTAAGAGCTTTACGAAATGCCTCAAGGACGTTCAGCTCACTATAAACATGGCTTCCTTCTTGATAATAGTCCTTCCTGCAATTTGAACTCAAATCAATCCAACATGAACTGAAGATAAGCCATTGAGTTTTACAAGACACGAAAAAGAGAACTCACCCTAAAGAAGTCTTGTCATGAGTCCACCAGTGGCCAGTGTTGAATACGATGAAATCTGCAGTCTTGTATTGAGTAGCAGTTTCTCCAACCAAATCAAGTCTAAGAGTTTCCTTCTTAGTTCCATCCTTATTCTTGAACTCAGATTCCCGCACTAAAAATGGTGACACATAGAACTCCACTGTGAACTTGTAGTCCTGCAAATCAATCCAACAATCAGACAAACAACACAAAAAACATCTAAACAGGCCAAGCAAAGGAATTCTCAATGAACTAACTTACTTCAAAAACAAAGGAATAAGAAGCTTCTGATCGAAAATGATGGCGACCGGACGCTTCATAGACTTTCTTTTGATCTTTGACGGAGTTTCTGAGGATGCAGATGAGAGACTCCCACATGTTTCGGTTGAGAGAATCGCCAACAAACACCAATCTCTTTCCTCTCAATAACTCCAGCATATGCGTTCCATTTAGCCTGCTCAGTCATTGATCCTTAGAACAATCAACATGGTGTTTCAAACAAACAAATGCCAAATTGATAGAAAACAAAAACAAGAAAGAGGCATATTATACACAGCAGAGGATAAGTAAAAATTCTAACAATTCATATCGAAAGTCTCCAATTCAAACCAAAATCTAGGATAATCAAGAACACTCATCTAATCCTAGATAAATCATTCACAAAAGAAAAGCTGCATACTTGATTGGCAAACAAAAATGTGAGCTTTTCACAACTCTTAAGGGAAAAAAAAAGAATCTTGTTGAAAATACAGGAAGAATAGAAATCAAATTCTTAAAAATTTAAATGTCCAATAATTGAGTTGATTAGTCAAACAGAAAATATGGGAATAAACTGAAAACACAAAGCAGTAACAACACAAAACACTACCTTGGAAGAGTGCAACCATGAGGCTTCCATCTAAGCTGGTAGTAATTACTATCAGGCCTACCATTGAGGAAACAATTGAATTGTTCATCAATCAAAGTGCAAGAACCAGGCTTGTACAGAGGATAGGATTCATCCTTCACCCAGTTCCCATCAAACAAATTGCAATTCACCAAAGACTTCACCAAATCCTCCTCATTCATCCCCTGCTTCTGCTGCTGCACATCTGAATTTGATGACCCATTGCTCTTCTTACCTACCAAAGAAGAAGTCAGATTCTGAACCACACCTTTCTCACCAATTCCAGATGACAAATTAGCTGCCTGGTTTGGCTTTACTGGAGAATTCGAAACTGTTCCAATTGTACTACTCTGATTATTTGCCTTCAAGACATCTCCTTTATTATTCTCTTTAATCCCAGAAGCCTGATTTTCCTTACTGGTAGATTTTGGTACATTCCCAACTAAACTACTCTGATTATTTGCCTTCAAGACTTCTCCTTTATTCTGCAACTCCCCATTCTGTACACTTCCGGAAGCAGAATTCACGCTCCCAGTTGAATTTGAAGCTGTTACAATTGTACTATTCTGATTTGTCTTCAAGACTTCCCCTGTAGTATTAGCTGTAGCATCCACAATTTCATTAGTAATTGTGCTACTCTGATTTTGCTTCAAGACTACAACTTTATCACCATTCAACCCCTCAGGATGAGTCTGGTTATGCACAATTGGGGACCCTTTATTGAAATTTGGTTCTCCATAACCGGAACTATTATGGGATCTATCAATGCTGGTGGTACTGTTACTAGTCCCACTCCCTGATGCTTGCTGTGAGGAAGAAGAACTGGAAGAATTGGGCGAAAAATAAGAGAAAATAGAAGAAATATGAGATCCATTTGTAGAAGAAGATGGTAAACTGGAAGTAAGACTAGTGATGCTAAAAATGTTGGAGAACAATGGAGAAGAAGGGTTAGGAGAAGGGCTGAAGGCTAAGAAAATGGTGAAGGCAATGAAGAAGAATACAAAGCCATAAGAAAGTGCCTTCTTGGTTTTCAGTATCTGGAATTGGTTTTTTAACTCTGTCATCATGAAGGTTCCTCCACCTTCATTGATGGAGGATGCAAATTTCGGCAGCTCTGTTCCCATTTATTGAGATTTCTCTGTTGTTTTTTTTTTTTTTTTTAACAAGGGATTTTCACAGCAAAAACAACAGAGTTGAGTGTCAATTTTGTTCTGAGGATTGGATTGATGGGGAAAGGCCACAAAAAGGAAAGGAAAGAAGAAAATATGGATAGTGGCAGAAAACTAGCAAAGCATGAGCTTGATTGATGATGATAATGGGGAGAGAGAGAGAGAGAGAGAGAAGAGGAGGAAACAATTTTGATTTAAAGTGGAGAAGAGAAAAAAAGAGAGAGAAAGATACTGCCGAATTAATTTACCAATGAAAAGAAGGATTTTTTATTAAATTAAAACCTCCTTTGTGGTTGCAGATTCTGCTGTTTCTTTGTTTTCTGGGTTGGAAAGCAAAAGGAAACAAATTTCACCGTGTAGTGTTTGCGTATCAGTGAAAAACAAATTCATCTTTCAGAGAAACTGGATGAGAAAATATGAAACTATCCTATTATGATTTTTATTACTACAACGGGGAATAACCTAAATTAATTGCCATAATTACGTAAAAGGTGTGAAAATACAGTGCCAAACTTTTCGAATTTGTCCTGATATTATCGGCTGACAAGTGGTTAAGAATAGTAATCCAAATCTTTAATAATCTTTCCCAAATCTGATTGTTTTCTTTTTTAGTTGGTTTTTTCAAAATTAAATAATACTAATAACTGTTTCATTTCATCATAACTTTTTACATTTTCAACACAAAAAATACCTAAAAACACATGCTAAAAAAACCAAACAAACATGCCATGATTTCCTTTACCTTAAATTGTTTTCGTGAATGAACCAAATCATTCGTCTGAAATAGAAAACCGTTATAGAAACGGGGAAATAAAATCATCGATTTAATTAATAATCGACAATTACTTGACGCTTTTTAAATAGATATTTACCCTTTCTTCTTTTTAAGAAAAAAAAATGAATATTATTCATTGAATGACGAAATTTTCCAAGTAAAATAGGTATTGAAAGAAATCCTCATGATATCTAAGGCTTTGTTTTTTTTTTTTTTTTTTAGAATTTAATATTAGTAACTATTTCATCTCAGTATACCTTTTTATATTTTCAATACATATTTTTACACTTCCACTACCAAAAAAAAACACTTAAAAACACACACTAAAAAAAGGAAACAAACATACCCTAAATGTCTTTTCTTATACTCCGTAATATTCCATGACAGTTGTTTTATTTGTTCTGCTATTTTAGTAGTACAATAAATCGGACAAATATTTTGAGACGTAAGAAATAAATTTAATATTCAATCATTTTTATCTTTTTCTTTTTAAAAAGCCATTATATTGAATGAAACATTATAGAAGTTACAAACTTAAGGCTGACACGAGGGTGCCTGAACATAGTATCTTCTATCACAAAAAGATTGGAGGGGAAAAAAAAAACTTAAAATATGGAGATTACTACTAAATTTCAACTATTGTATGTACTTTGACTAAATTCTTCAAAGTAAGAAGACTAAAATGAAACATGGGTTTGTTGTTCTAAAAGTGAAAGTCATTTGGAAGCTCTTAAGTAAAAAAAAGTTAGTTAAGCACCGTCGCTGTCGTGAATAAATGTCCGAAACAAGAAAAAATATATTACAGAAAAAAAAAAGAAGAAGAAGAAAGAAAAAGCCACTGGAGGTGAGTTTAATAGCAATGTTGCCACTGCCGTCAAAGCTGTGTTGTTGACAAACCAGTCAAATTGTACCACGTATCTTGCTTCTCAAAGTGTGTGGTGCGGTGTCCCTCAGCTAATTGCCCCCGTCACTTTTGTTGCCCCTTTGGGCCGTGACAACTGACAATTTTATCTCTCAAGCTTTTGAGCTGGTTCGGAATTTTACTGTTTTTTTTTTTCTTCTTCTTATGAATTCTTTTAATTTTTGCATTTAAAGTAGTAGTATAGTCTAAGAAAATGCTGCAGGAATAAATAATCAAAATTGCCACCAAAAAAAAGGGTAGGGGTGTGAAAATGAATTTGTACACAAGAGTGATCGGAATAGAATCTCAATTAGAAGGCGTTACGTGAATTAGTACTGTATTAATTTGTACTCCCTCCGTCCCATAATTATTGTCCAGTTTGGATTTTCACTTTTAGTTTAAATTGTAATAAAAGTGAAATCTTCAACTGGACAATAATATTGGAACAGTGAAAGTATCAACTTAATTTTCATGTCCCATACTCCCATTTGTATTGGTACTATATAGACTAGTAAATTAAGGATCAGAATCTGTTGAATAAATTGAAAATCAAATCATTATTGTGGTGATATTGGAAGATCAATTTACTCTAAATATTCTATATTCATGTTTGAAGATAAGTTTATCATCTTATAACATGTATTACTTCTTTTTGTTCAAAAATAATTACTTTGGTGTGGAAGGAGGAATCAAATTGGAAACTTAATTCGATGGTGTTCATCTATGAACATACAATGTATCAATGTAAATTTAAAGTTTGCAAATAATAAATTTTTTTTTTTAAAAAAAATCCAACCTATTTGACATAATTAAGAAACTTGGGTAGTGTTCATGTTATTGACACAATCATCATCCATCCATTTCTATTGGTGGGTACGTTCCAAGTCAATTTTCACAAATTGGAGTCCCCATCAAAATTGAAGAATTTCGAGAATGGTTAGGATCAATCTTTTTTTTTCCAGTAAAAACGAAAGCAATCCATAACAATATTGACGTTTCTCATAATGGCACCGACACATCATTAATTAAGTTTATAATAATGCCCCTTAATCTAAAAAATCATTACTAAATTATCTCTAATTTTTATTTAGCGTACTACTCTTTCTTTTCTTGAGAATTAGTATTCCAACAAAAATTGAATTTCATACTTATGATTCAGTCAAGAATTCAATATTCTGTAAACTTATTCTTACGTTATGAGAAATGTGATCTAAAAGTTGGGCTTAACCATTCAACATCAATTTCAGTGAACATCTTTACAAATTCGGTTGTTTTGGCAGATATATACACGCAATAACTGACAACCCGTGATAGTAAACTGTCTTTATTTTTTGCTTTCCAGGCTGAATTTCTCGAATTCGCCGAACAATTTTCAACGGTTTGCTTGCCCATTCTTTGCCATTTGTAATAATGATTTATTTCTTGTATTTTTCCTTACAAACTTATGAACATAACGGCAACTAATTTCCACATTAAAAGCATCGATCCTCTGCCGTTTCCTTTGATCTTTCTTACTCACACAATTGCTTTAATTCGAGATTTATAGCTATTATGATGATGAATTAACTATATAAAAAAAATTAATTTTGGATTACACAGATCATTGTAACCTAAATATGTGTGTCCGTCCTTCTTATCCTTTCCATATTTCAAAATATAAATCGTTTTAGATTTCAAGAAAATTTCAAAATATAAGCCGTTTCAGAAATTTAAACTAAATTAATTATTCATTTTCCAAGTTTGCTCTCAATAAATGATGACAATTATTATTCATTTAGTATTATTGATAATTTTAATATATAATTAATGAAGGGTAGAATATATATTTGATATACAGTTTAATTACAGAATGAAATGACTTATATTTTAAAATGGAAGGGTAACTAATTTACCACATAACAGTGCCAACATTATGATGACTGATGTTCGGTGTGTCTTTCTATTACAATCCTTGTCTGTGTAAGTCGTAAACCTTTTCATAAAATAAACGTACCGGGCTGATTCTTTCTTCTTTAAGAAACACCAACATCTTTTTTTTTTTTTTTTTCCCCTGGGAATTATGGTACGTACTCATCTCTAGTTTTGTTGTTGGAAATCGTTGATATCATCTCTAGGGAGAGTGACAACATTGGGTGCCTCCTTTTGTTTTCTATAAGAGCCACATATAATATATTGCCCCCTCTATATAGATCCTATACCAATGTGTTTTATTAATATGACAAATTCTGAGGTGTATATTTTCATATTCCTTTCAGCAAAAAACATAGAAATTTTTTGAATTTAGAGATTAACCCTAAAACTACAATTTGTTAAGAGATAACACGAACTCATTCACCCAATTAATTTTCGCCATTTACATTTTGTAACATCACAAAATTTATGCGCTTTATTAAAAATTGACATGTCTATTTTTCTGGTTATAAAGAGTTTCGATAATATTTTATGACCCATAGTTTAAAAACAACAATCAAACTTTTAGTTATCCAAAATAGCACATCAATTGTAATAAGACTATCAAATATTATCTCCGTCTAACAAAAAAATAGTCCACATTAAGTTTTTAAAATTTGTACTAAAAATAATACAAAATTTAAAACTCAATATGAACTATTTTTGTGGGACAGAAGGAGTAATTTGTTTGTAGACAGGGTGACTTACTTTGACTGAGTTGTGGGAGTCAATCGATTATTACACTGAGATTAAAATAATGGGACGATACTTAGTGGAGAGAATGTTTTAGTTAAGGAGTTGATTCCGCGTGGAATGGGACCCCTTTTGGGTTTTGTTTGTCGTCCCATTTGGAAAAACGTTTACGTTAATTTGTGGTTGAAGTTAGAATTTTGAATCTCCGTACATTAATTTCGTACCCGCAGTCTTGCCCGTCAACCCCCACCCGTTTCCTTTTGTCGTCAACTACACACACACACACACACTCTCTGTCTCTCTCTCTCTCTCTCTTCCGGCAAAGCTCTCTTATTCTTTTTTCTTTTTTCTTTAATCTTTTTCGACTCACATATAGGCATCATCTATATTATAAGTATTTATTTGTTTAGTTTTCACAATTTACTTTGTTACACAGGTAACTGTTTACTTCATTCTTCCCTTTAATGTATAACCAAAAAGATCGATGATTTGGATTTCAAATTTATTCCGTGAAATGACTTGATTTGCTAAATAAATCAACATTAAAAAAATTTAACTGACTTTGCTAAACAACTCAGATTTCGTAACAATTTTGAAATATAGTACTACCTCCGTCTAAAAAAATAATAATAATAAAAATTCACATTAAATTTTTAAATTTGTACTAAAAGTAACACAAAACTCGAAGTTAAATCATGTTCTAGTCGGTAGGACATTGTATTTTTAATTGCAAAGTTAAGGGGTTGTGGACGCATGAAACAGGCAACATAAAGTAGACTGTTGAGTTTAGCCGTCTGTTCAAGCAGACAAGTGATCTACACCTTAAGACTACAGAGGACCAAACATACATTACGAGCAGGAGATTGACACAAGTAGAATCTCAACATAATTAGTATTGTCCACTCCTCAGTCAACTCCACTTCATTAAAATAGTCCATATATTCTCCGGGCGCATCAATCTTACCTATCAGTATATAAACCTGTTTGTGCCGTAAAAAAAGTGTAAGAATGAGTATCAAACCTTTGTTTGCTTATGATAAGTGACCATTTCAATGGTTTCGTCCATTTGTCTCAACGCAAAAACTAATGCAACATCACCACTTGTATCATGTAGTGTGTTGCTAGCAAACCAAAGCGTAAAACAATCCGCCATCGTTGGTTTCGAGGATTCTTTTTTTATTACGTACGATGGCAGAGCATCAACTTAATTTGTTTTCCCCCCATTTGTCTGTTAATTGCCTTTCTTGTCGCAGAGAAATTTTCCTCGTGTTTGTACCTTTGGTTTATTGATGAATTAAGTGAAGAGTTAAATTTAGCCGTTTTCAGGATAGACAATGTCAAACTAACTACGCACCTGGGAGAATTTTTCTCCAAAAATGGAAAATGTCATCTTTCAAATTCATTGCAACATATACTTCCTCTTTCGCAATAGGAAAAAAAAAAAATCACATTGCTAGACTAAATTAGTAAAATAAAATGAACTATTTTCCTAAGTACTACATTTTAAGTGAGGTTGCAAATGGAATTGATTAGTGACTAAATATCAATTTGTACTATTTCCGTCCAAAATAACAGTCTACATTGAATGTTGAGATTTGTAATAGTTTTAGTACAAATTTGAAAAAAAAAAAACGTAGTCTATTTTTCTAGAACGGAAGGATAAATTAACTGTCACTCAATTAAGATTTTATCATGTGAAAGGAGAGATTTATGAAATATCATCTCTCTAGTCCTCAACTGGGATCTGCAAATAGATGAGTTTTAGGAAAGGGCAACCCATTGCATTAAATGTCCAACCAAGAAAAAACAATACTCACAATATTTATATTTTTCTTCGAAAGGAAAAGTAGTTGCCCTCGTTGCAAATTTTAATGAACAAGATATCCACAATCTGCACAGTTGTACCAAAATATTGATAAATTTAGTTATATAAAAAAATCTATTCACTTGATTTGATTTAATTTCAATTAATGCCAACTAATAACCGGGAAAAATGATTAAATGAAATGAAAAAATATCTTCCAATATGCGCCAATACTATTTACACCATCATCAGAATTTCAAGTCTTTCATATGCATAAGAGATGATCATGAAAAATGGTGGTCATGTTAATTTAAAGAAAATTTTCTCTTTTTGGACAATTCAAAAAAATATTCTTAGACTACCGTTTATGATCTGATAAAATATTTGCCCCACATTAGTATCGTGAGAGACTCTGTATTAATATATAAGATACATGTGCTACTCCCCTCATTCTTAATTGTTTTTGATGTAAAATGCCATGGACTTTTATATGGTATTAGAGCGGGTTAGGCCCAGTATTATAATAGGCTATCATATTGATCTAAGTCCATGCCTACTGGGCCGGAGGCGATCGGACTAATCCATAAAAATATCGGGTGATTTAGTCCATACCCGTTGGGCCTGAAGGGGAGTAATAAAACACTTGTCTCACATTGGTTTTGTGAGAGACTTTGTATTAATATATAAGATATATGGGCTACTCACCTCATTACCAATTGGTTTTGAGGTGGAACCCCATATACTTCTATATGATCGACTAACGTTTTTATACTATTATAGTCTTCTAAAACCAAACAAACTGTTTTGGTTTTTTTTTTTCAAAAAAAATTAAACTGAAAATTTAATCTTCCTTTAATTAAATTTTTTTTGGAAGAGGGGGCTGATGATCTCCCAAATGAATCCACAGTCATTTCAAAATCACAAAAAAATTTACAGGTTTTTTCAAACAATAATTTGTTAGTAGTATTTCATATTGTAGAATTAAAGAGGATGGACACATGCAAATGACAAAGAAAGGGGGAGAAAAGGAGAGCAGTGTCCAAATGGGAGGAGCATTTAAAGTCTTGTATGGATGGCCCTATGCTCATAAGTTTGCCAACCAATTTTCTCTTTTTCTTCCCCTCCATTCCCTCCCACCGACTGCATAGTGCATCATGATTAGCCATCCCTGCTTCTTTTTTTTTTTTTTGTTTTAGAAAAAAAGATTATAATTGTAATGTGTAAATTTTATTAATAATTTAGTATAATATAGATTATTTTTTTTTGAGACGGTGATATGATTCATGTCTGAAACTATGGCCGAGTAATCCAAATAGACTTGGGTAAGTTTTTCTTATATTTTCTCTCTTTCAAAATTATTGTCTAGTTTGAAATTTCAATTTTAATATAATTTGAACTAAAAATGAAAACTCAAACTGGATATTAATTATAGAACCGAAAGAGTAAATGTTTCTTGAGAACGTTCTTTCTGTTATTTGTACATTTCAAGATTTGAAGCTTCGTCAAAATTAAAACTCCCTTAACGTTTATCGCCAGTATTCGAATGATACATTTTTGAGTGAAAACGACAAATTGATTTGGTAACAACTGGAATGAGGTCCTTTTTCTTTTCTTTTTTTCCTTTGGTTTCACACATACATTTTGATCTGTCATGCAATTCCCCCAATTATATTGGTAGCCAAAAAAAATGGTTATACCATTATACGTGTCCTGTGTGCATCAAAACTATTTCAGCAGCTGGCATGTGACCATCTCCTGTCGCATATGCAATTTTTTTTTAATATTTTATTTTACTCGCACGCCTTTTATATAGTGGATTCAAAGCTTTTATCGTCACTTTTTCAACCGGGTGAATCTTTTTTCTCTAACACCGAACCTTAAAAGTCATATATATTCCTGATACTATTAAAAACCATTTTTACGAATTTCTCTTAATCATTTGTCTACTTGTTAATGATCGAAAAGAAAAAAAGAAAGCATCCAACAAGTACCCTCTGAATTAACTAGAATGGCGTAACCAATGTTGCGCGAATTAACTCATGTCAATTACAACAACTAAAGTGCGGTATCAATCATGAAGACAAATACTCCCTCCGTCCCATAATTATTGTCCAGTTTGGATTTTCATTTCTAGTTCAAATAATACTAAAAGTGAAATCTCAAACTGGACAATAATTTTGAGACAGAGGGAGTAATAAGGATTCGCAACAGAAAGATATACTCCATCCGTCCCATAATTATTGTCCAGTTTTACTAAAATAAAAGATTTTATTTTTGGTCAAACTTAACTATATTTTACCTTAAACAAACTGACATACCCCTACATAAGTAATTTTATGGATAATGTTTTTTACTAAGGACAAATGTGTAACTTGATCCATAAAAAGTCAAATTGGACAATAATTTTGGGACAAAATTTTTTGGGCAAAGTGGACAATAATTATGGGACGGAGGGAGTATTTTATAAATAACAAATGGATAACAAGAAAGGATCAAATTCATTCATTTTTTTAATACTTATTATTTAGAAATTTAGAAATTTTTCTTTTATTTTTTATTTTTTTACTGCGTGTATCACTCACTATTCTAACACAAAATCATTCAGCACGACTCCCAGATATATATTCTTTACAAAATTCAGCATCAGCATGGGTAATACTAGTAGCTTTTTAATGGGTCAGGCTATTTTGTACAAATTGAATTCCAGAAAATCTCAGGCCCATTCAAGCGAAATCACCATGACAAGCCCAAGCAGGACACTTTCATAGTTTCATTTGCGCGTTAACCAACCTGAAGCTTCGCGAGTGTGTTTGCTAACGAGAGAAAATTGGGAAACCCCAAAATGTAGTTTTACATCATTTTTTCAAAATTTGTTATTCTATAGTGTTATAAATTAAGGAATCCACATTGCATGAACGATGTTGAAGATCGACTCGGACTATACTTGATCGCTACCGTGCTCCACCAGTGATGGTAAACATACAGTAGTAGAGTGCGTAACCTTGTCCTGGACTTGCTCAAGAATGCACCAAACTTAGAGGAGCTCACAGGTGAATAAGTATTACCACATAATGCATTAGGTGTAGGACTGCCCAAAAAATAGTAACTATGCAAAAGGTTGGAGAGTTTAGATGGAAAGCAGAGCGATTTCCTTAGCTGATCATCTCAAGACAGTAAGCATTTTATGCTTGGGAAAGTGTGGGAAGCTGAAAGCCTTTAATTGCTGTTGTGTCTGAATTTTCATTGCACCAGACAATTCTGGAATATAGAAGCTCATGGGGTTTCATCTCAAAACTAATTGGCAATGAAGGGAGTAGCCCATATACTTATATATTGATATCAACTCTCTCCCACCACCCGATGTGGGATACTCAACATGGAAGACCAACTGTAGCAGATTTTTTTTTTTTATAGCAGAACAGTAACAATTTTAACAATAATAGTGAGGAACTAATATGTTGGATTCAAGAAACTCAATACATCTATACAATGATATCAACAAAAGACTAAAAACTGCCTAAGTATACAAATTTTTGGCTATACAAAATTCTGGATCATTTGTTTCACTTCTTCAACCACAAGCCAAGCTTTATGTCCTCCAATCACTTCTGCTTTCATCTCCCCATCTTTCCACAGCTGCAACAATGGGATTAAAATGAATCTAAAAAATCATACTCATTTCCCATCAAAGATTCGAAAAGGGGAAAAGAAGAAAGTATCAACAAGGGCATTACATCAAGATTTGAACTCACCTGAATTGTGGGCATTTTCTGTGAGAAAGCAAACACACCATTGGGTACAGAACACAGAGAGATAAAAATATCAAACCTTGGAATAAATCGGGACTTAATACACACAGAAAATGGATACATACAGTGATGTTTCCACGCTTTACTAATGACTGGGGCACTTTGTTCACGTCCACGCAGAAGAACTTGGCCCTGAAATTCCAATATCATCACATAAGACCATAACATAAATGATCAAAGGTTAAAACTTCAACCATCTGATCGATTGCATACAGAAAACAAGAACACATTTATTTTAAGTCCTCGAAACAACTTACTTGGAATCATAATCAGCAGCTAATTTCTCTAATTTTGGTTTCAAATATATGCATTTCCGGCACCAAGAAGCCATCCTATTCCAAAGAAGAAAGCCCCACATGATTAAGAAATGAATGCGAAATATAAACAAATCACAAATAGTACATAATGACTATTCCTATTGTATGCAACATGTTTTAACGTCCCATCTCACAGACTCATACAACAACATTGAGAAATGAAGTAGAATTAACAAAAGTGTTACACCATAAAGCGATACGATACAGAGTTGTGTGTGAAGTACCAATCAATGATGATGGGCTGGGAAAGTTGGTTAGCTTCAAGAAGAATCCTGTCTAACTCATCACAATCCTCAATTGGTTGCATTTCAATGGTGGCTGGAGTTCTTGACAAGGATCCAAAAAAAGTACCACCATCCACCCTCCAGTTTCCTCCTCCTCTTCTCTTCCTCACTGTTTTCCGCTTTCCCTTGTCATCTTTTCCAAAACTGAATTTATCTGACTTTACCAGACCAAAGCAATTCCCAACACCCCATAATTGCTGCTGGTGATATAACTGATTGATTTCTCTGCACAGGATGTGTGAATTTGGGGCAAATGTGGACATATCTTTTTTTTTTTTTTTATGACTTTTTTACTTTTTAGGAGGAAGAAGATGGCCAAAGAACAAAGTAACCAAGAAAGAAAAAAGATAAGAAGATATTTTAGGCCATATGGTGATGAGTTGTGTCCCGTGGGGTCATCCATATCCTAATTCCCTTATAAATCCCAATCCAATAAACTCCAAACTTTTGAAGTGAACTACAATATTCGGTTTTATTTTTATTTTATTTTTCTTTTTGTATCCTATTGTATATTCTACGCTCTGATTATTCAATATAATGGGGAAAATTTGGATGATGGACAGTAAAGATGATTAAATTAATAAGAAAAAGTACAAGTTTAAAACAATTTTTGTTAAGAATAGTGAAAATCAAAACACTTGCGTGTATTAACGTTATCATCCTTATTAGTTAGTGTTATACTAAAATAATAATACAATAAATAAAAAAAAAGGAAAAACAAGAGTTCTTTATAATTCTAAAGTACGAGTTATGATTGTCAAAGTCACATTGAGCTCCCATCTTAAAACCAATTGACAATGAGTGGGGTGACCTTTGGTACTCACCGATGTGGGATCTTTTGTCCCAACACCTTCTCTCAAGCCTAATGTGGTATTTAGCCCATTGAGATTGCACAACACAACATAATTCACCGAATATACTGTCGGGTCAGTCCACAAGCCCAGATATTTTTTTGGGTCAATAAGCTCACACACGCTGGTCTATATTTATCACAGATCCACAGATCGTGGGCTTTAGTACTATGTCAAAGTCACCTTGGCCTCCCATCTCAAAACCAATTGACCTTTGGTACTTATAAACAGGTGAGAGATTCTTCACGACACTGATGTGAGATTCTTTTGTCCCAATATTGATATTTTTTGTCAAACACTTTCAAAAGAGTGATTAAAATAGTGAATATGATTTTGTTAAGGCAAGATGAAACAATAGTGTCACTTCATAAGTGTTTAGATTTTATGATCTATGACAAAATAAACTATTGTTCCTAATAAAAATTATTTCAAACTCATACCGTTTTTATTAATTTAACCATTTTCGCCAATATTCATCCAAAATTTCTCTTAAATATACTATAATTCACTTGAATTAGCACCCTGGATTAGGTTACTGTTCATTGAATCCATACAATCCCAATTATAAAGTGCAATGCAAATTTCTTTGAATCCATCTTCTTTCCAAATCATTCTTTGAGATTTCGTCCTGAAAAAATAACCCATTACACCTAAAATGATCTCTTTAATCTTGTTGTCTTAAAAATTTACAATTTCACTTTTTAACTTGAATACTTTACCCAGTTGATTGTATTGAATACTTTAACCTGTACTTTGAAAATTGGACCGGACCGGGCGGTCGAACCGATTTGACCAGGAATCGGAGGCATTCTCGGTCCGGTTTTGATTAATAATCGGCAGAGTTAGAAATCGGTCAAACTCGGACAAAACCGCAGTTTGACCAGAAACCAGTACCGGTTGAACTAGAATTTTAAAATTTTGAAAATTAATTATTTTTTAAATATTTTTTATAGCCGATTTTTACTAATTTTAAAAGTCGATCTAAACCGGTTGAACCGATGAACCAATGAATCACTTAAGTTATTGATTCGCTTTCCGGTCCGGTTTTCAAAACATATACTTTAACTTGAACCATATATGACGCAAACTCAGAATTGAGAGTTGACTTGGAGAGGAAACAAAGGTGAAGAGAGATAGAGAGAAACCCTAATCTACGAGGTTCGAGAGTTTATTAGGCGAATAAAAAGCAGTTTAGGAGACGATAGAGTTAAGAGTTTAATCATTTCATTCACAATAACTAGTAAGCATACAACAAAGACCACAATAACTAGTCTAAACCACTATTTATGCTGTCACAATAACTAGTAAGCATACAACAAAGACCTTCCACGTAAGGTAAGTACTAATTAAGTTCCTATGCCTTAATATCTACTAACTATATTAGTAACAAACTAAAATAAGCATAAAAAATATTGTATGCAGCTGTTGTACCACGTAAGATTGTATAACTAGACAAAATAAGTAAAGTAAAATAGTAATTTTGGGGGGAAAGTTATAAATTCAATGGGAATGTTAACAACAAAATAGGAAATGCTAGTATTTGCTGCACTAAAAACAAGGATAATCAGTTGTACCCAATAATTTTTCCAATAAGCAAGACTCTTGTTTGTCAGAAGGAATACCGGAATACAACCTACGATAATTTGGGTTGGAGAGAATACTAAAGTACAACCTAACCCTTCTAAATATTGTTTCAACTTCAAAAACAATCGCAAGTAAATCCAAAATGCTAACTCTACTACAAATAGTGAACTAAAAGTATAAATATATGAAAACAGACCTGACCAAGATTCCAGTTTTAACTGGAGCTTAATTGTCAATTTCGGTTCTATACCGTAACCATAAATTATGGTTCGAGAAGACCATAATCGAAACCATAACTTTTTTATTTGGAAACCCGTGGTTTGATTCCGGTTTAAACAAGGAAAAATTGAATGATCTAATGTAAAATTAATTTTTAACAAATGTAAAAATTAATTTTAATTAATTATTTACTCTCTTCGTCCCAAAATTATTATCTACTTTGGATTTTTATTAAACATCCAAACTAAACAATAAGACGGAGAGAGTACCATGTAGATGCTCCAAATAAACTAAGCAATTGGCCCGGATGTGCCTAAAGGTGTGCTTCGATCTGTGTAAGCGTACATAATTACCATCTACGAAAAACTCTGACGATAAAAAATAGCCTCATAAAATGGAAAGAAAACAAGTTTGGAATATTTAAAAATACACTGAGAAAATCAAAGGTCTTTTACATATAGTAGAAATCATAAGATATTAGTAAAATTGTAACTATCGTCAGAACCATAATAAAATCTAAACTAGAATCGATCCCAAAATTAAAACAATAATCGATCAGAACAAGAACCAGGTCAAACATAATTGTTTCAAACCATTTTTTTTTGTTTTTTGTTTTTTTTTTAAGTCTACCCTAGAGGGTCCCACTTAATTGTGGGTAAAATCCCTTTACATATTCTTGGTGGAAAATGAACCAAGGTCTAAATCTAGGAATTAAATCTAGATCTAACACCAAGAAACACAATATCCTAACCATTATACTATCATTCAATTCAGGTTTTAAACCATTTATAGATAGCAATTCCTTAGAATCATTAATCAATAGTAACTGACAATTCCGGGAGCTAGATAAAAATAATAGTATTAAATAGAACAATTTAGCAAAGCACATTGAATTTGAAGATTCAAAACATCCACTTTCTTCTCAAAGCATCGACGCCTCCTCCAAGAGTAATTACGAAGGATTGATATTTGTTAATCACGTCTAACTCGACTTCGATGAAGGCTATGATAAGCAACCGTCTCTGTTCAACTAAAATTTCTTGAAATAACTATTCTTATTATGCAAATCGCTCCAAGTGATTGATGAACACTCCTGGATAAGTTCCTCAGCTGCTTTAAAACACTCAGAAAAACGAGTATTCCAACACTTCAATTCTTTACTGGAAATCTTTGTCATAGTATTGAAATATGGCTCCAAGTGATGTAGAGTGAGATGCATACTTTTCAAGGCGTCCTCGAATGTTGCTATCTTACGAGTGGTGAGCGATGCAAGGATAATTTTTGTTTGAATTAATAAAATATCAGGGTTTTCCATCATGGCTGTTGCATCCATGGTAACAAGAAGAGGAAAAGTTTGGGAATTAGTTCGCAAAGGTTTAGAGATTGGATGAAATTTTTCCTGATGTTTTGTGTTGATGGACGTTGGGCGCGGGTACATGGGCGGAGTAATCTCTTATATATAGACACAAGGTTCATAAGTTTTGGTCGATAAACCAATTCAAAATTTGGTAGGTAAATAAACCAATTTAAAACTAAGTATCATATCGGAAACATTTTTCAATTTTGTTTAGGAGGATAATGATTTTATTTTATTATATTTTAATTATTATAAGGGAACTTCTCCATTATTCAATGCACTCAAATTAGTATTCTTTTTTACTCAATCATCGAGGTGGTAAGGTTTTTTTTAATGAGTGATATTGTCAGGACAATTTTTAGCCTCTAGGACAAAATATATATTTTTTTCCTAAAATGTCCTCATAAAGTCAAATCTTTTTTGTCCTCTCTCCCTAATCTCTATTTACACACTCCATCTTTGATCCTATGCCCTAATTTTTCTCTGAGGTACCCATCTCCTTCCAAAATAACGCAATGTTAAGAATTCATAATAACAATCAATATCTTCATCTATACGGGTGTAGGAGGTCAATCCTGACGGGCCCAAAGGGAGCTGAAATTTAGGCTGTAGCAGGAGTCCAAATAGCCCATCTCGTCTTTGAGTGGTTAAGCTCTTTTTATGTGGATTTCATCTACTAATATTTACGGTTTTGCCCCCAAGGAGCGGGGCCAACAGATATTGTCCTATTGGGAATTATAAATATCCCATGATCATTTATTGCAAACTCAATTTTTTTTCCACACCCCGCTTCTTTCTCTAAGTGTGTTAATTGACTGTTTCTCTCTCTAGCACTAGCTTAATCTTCGGAATGCTAACCCATGTCTTGCAGATCCGCGTTCGGGTTTGACCGTTGACTCCACGCCTCCGAGATTTACCCTCGACAACAGGTCTTTCATTTTATTATTATATTCTCAAGAGCCAATGTGTGTGGAAGAAAAAGAAAGCCATAAGTGAATTCCTTCTTGTTCTTTCCCTCCGGGTTTAATCAACGGTTTAACAATAAATTCTCTAACTCTTTGATGTTGGCATAATGCTGTCAACTGAATTTTGATACTGTAGAACACTTGTATTCCATCAGAAAAAATTCATCATGCCAAAAATTTTCTATTCTGACTGTAACAAAAATTGATCAGCTCATGTGTCTTTGATGAATTTGGCAAACAAATCTGAATACTGAGTCAAGAAAACAACACCACTGCTGATCATGTGTCTTTAGTGATATCATGCGCATGATTTGGTGGCGTATATTTTGAGTTGCAGCACCAACATGCTCAGCAAATGAATCATATTGCTGATAATTTTCATAACAAGAAATTATCATATCTACTGCTAATAACATTTAACAATCTCTACAATTAAGTCTACACAAATAAACGGATCACATATTTATGATTCTATTTCACAATTCAACCCCAACTTAATCTATACAAGGCAGGAATAATCAAAGTCCAAAAATCTCACATATCAATATAATTAACTTCAACATTTAAGTTCTGTTTGCTTTTCCACGATAATCAACTAAAATAAAATTTTCTTTAATTGAACTCTATCTTTTCACTCGATTTCGGTCTAACGAAAGCCGCCCAAAATTAGTCTCCAAAAATTGAAGCGTCACTGTGTTCATGTGAGATCTCAGTAGGTATGATCCTTCTCCGCCAGATATGGTATATGAGGAAAAATCTTCAAAAAAGAATGGGGTGATACAGAGGGGCACAAAGAAATGAGAAGAAATTTCAATTTACTCTGCAGAGAGCATGGAGGGAGAGAAATAAAGGTTTTGACTCTATGAGGATATTTTAGGAAAGAAACATATATTTTGTTATGGAGGCTAAAAATTGCGCCGGCAATATCACTATCCTTTGTTGGTCTCGGTATTTTTTGGAAAGAAAAATTAATAGAGATTTTATTTTATTTTTATACATAATAAACAAGTTCAACGGAACATAAAAGCGCACCAATATATCCTTTTTTAAAAATCTGCAATTTCATTAGTGGTACTTGCACCTTATGTTGATGTTTACATTCAGTGTCACGGCAAATTGCCGATATTTCCATAAATTAAACCCTTCAACATTACCACCGAAGTCGCTTTGGCCGAGTGGTTAAGGCGTGTGCCTGCTAAGTACATGGGGTTTCCCCGCGAGAGTTCGAATCTCTCAGGCGACGTTTGCATTTTTTTTTTCCTCCGTTCCCCAATTTCTCTACATCGGTTCCTTTTTGTCTATTTCTCTGCCTTTCCCCCCCTTCCCCTTCTGTTTTTCCCTCATCAGGATTTGGGGTTTTGTTGAGAAAACAACGACGAAACGAAACTTCTGATCAATTTTCAATAATCGATTCGAATGGCCGCCGTCGGAGCACCAAATCCATCATCCTCTCCCTCCAGCAACGCCGCCGAGATCGAGGAACTCGCTCTATTCGCCGTTCAACAGCACAATCAGAAGCAGGTTCATCAATTCCTGTTTTCTTATACTCCTAGTACTTTTTATTTTTTATAATTTCTTTTCTGAATTTTGAAGAATAGATACTTCTAGTAATTTCTTTTCTCTTGGAGAAGTTTTACGATTAACAAAGCCTTCATTTTTTCTGAGTCCATATTGCCCTTGCTTTTCTGATGGAAAATTGAAATTGCTCGTGTTTTTTGGTTGATTTTATTTTATTTTTTGGTTGCACTGTTTGGATTATTTATGCTTTTGATGATGATTGATTCAGAATGCGTTGGTGGAACTGGGGAGGGTAGTGAAATCGGAAGAACAGGTGGTGTCTGGAAAGTTATACAATCTGACTCTGGAGGTGATTGAAGCAGGGAAGAAAAAGCTGTATGAAGCTAAAGTGTGGGTGAAGCCTTGGTTGAACTTTAAAGAGCTCCAGGAGTTCAAGTATGTCAAGGACGTTGTTCCATCCCTTACCCCTTCGGATTTGGGGGTTAAACAAGATGGTTATGGATTTGGATGGAAATCGGTGCCTGTTCATGACCCCATTGTTAAAGATGCAGCTGATCACGCCCTCAAAACCATCCAGCAGAGATCCAATTCTTTGATTCCGTATGAGCTTCATGAGATAGTTCATGCCAATGCCGAGTTGAATGAGGAGCTGACCAAGTTGGATATGCTGCTTAAGTTGAAGAGGGGAGAGAAAGAAGAGAGGATGAAGGTTGAGGTTCACCAGAATAACAATGGTGGTGCTTTCCACTTGAATAAGATGGAACCTGACCATTCTTGATCTCTTTCGAGGCTCTCATGAGAATAACTTTGATCTGTAATGTCTTGTAGCTAAGTGTAATTATAATTGCCTTGGAAGAAGGAAATATTGTAATGTATGGAACTGGTTGGCCTTTTTTGTATGGCATAATAAGGAAATATACCGGTGGAATTTGGTTCTGTATTTCAGGGCTGCAATTTCTTGTCATTAGGCCAGTCTTGTTTTTTCGGAATAGATATATAGTACTAGTTTGAAAGCCTGGAATACTTCTTCCATATATGCACGACCTGACGCTTGAGGTTGCAAAATCATGGAGAAGATGGCCGTGAAATTGAATACAGAGTCGACTGAATGTTTTGTTTCAGAGCTCCATGATTGTTGTTTCGAATTGTCTTCAGTTGTTCCCCTTCCCCTTCAACTTTGTTGTAAAATCAGCCATAATGATGAAAAACAAGCAGCTGTTAAGGTTTTTAAGCATGACAACTTACAAGAGTAGAAATATATGCTTCTTTTGATCATCCAAAAAGTCGGATAAGTAATGTTGTTACAATCATGCTGAAAACAAACAAAAAAAAAGAAAAAAATATCTGCTTGAAGTTTTCATTCAAAGTAGTTTAGGCCCAATCTAACGATTGACTAGTAGGAATACTCTATAACGCACTGTACGAACATTATCAGTTGTTCTTGATGCTGCCTTCATTTTGATTGCCATTTCTGCGGCAGAATGGAAAGAATTGCTACTTCTGCCCTTCATTGCCACGTTTCTCTTTGGCTTAGAAACAATGATGTTATTATGGGGGGACTGGCGTGGGAGTATAATTTGTGAATCTTGCTGTTGTTAACTTCCATTCACCCAGAATTTAAAATACAACTGAGCATTTGGATATGCTCCATTTGACCATCTGGTTGGATAGATCAAATTTATTCACATTTCCATCCCTGGTGCAGAATTGTTTTAGAGGATTGATTCTTGTTTTCACATCAAACTCTACTAAGGCAGGCTACTGAAGACATTGCTTATCAGTGGAGATATACTGTTGAAAACCAATGCGAGTCTGAATTTCACTCAGACTCCAAATATTTAGTTAATGATGATTTATTGCTTTACCTAGTACAAGCTGCTTCCAAAGACAAAATGAACTTGAAAACAGAATTAACACCCTCTATTTGCAGATGGCAGCGGTGGAATGGTTACCGGGGAATGTCCCAACCCTAGAGAATCCCTTGCGATGAACACGACCACACGGTCACTGATAAGAAGCCATTAACAGTTTAATTTTTTCAGGAGATGAATCTGAATATCAATAAGAAGCCATGGATCTCTCCAGAGACTTTCAGACGACGCTTTTTACGGCGATGTGGACATGATCTTTGATAAGCTCATCATTGTTACTCCACTGCTTCATTTACCTAGATTTCAGTTACATAAGCCATAGCAATTTTATAAATTAAGCTTGTTTGATGTGCAATATTATACTCCTATAGATTTGAAAGAGTTTTTTTTTTTTTTTTTTGGGGGGGGGGGGGAGGGGTAAGATTTGAGACACTGTTGCCGCTGTTGTTAGTGGTGTTTTCAACTTTTCTTTCCCCTCTGAAGCCCCTCCCTTGCCACATTAGTGTACGCAACCCACAATGTGCTGTTCTAAGAGTCTACTGGCTAACTTTTATCATAATTCTACCTAAACCCAATGAGGCTCCTTTAACTTACTTAATCCCAACTTTTCAGTCTCAATTTGATTTCCTTAATTGGTCAACTTAAACGATAAAACGAGTAAGGAAAAACAAAACCGCTGACTCTTAAGTCTTAACAAAACCACATTAGTGTAACTTCTTTTATTTTCACTTATTTATACTTTCTTTTCTTGTTTCTTTTTTTGTTTTTACATTGAAGGCAAAATTAATAACTAATAGGATTTGTAACATAAAAAGTTTTCAATGTCATTATTTAGAGAACCCCAAACGTGTGATTTCTTTTATTTTAATCGCTTTCTTGTTTTTCTTTTTCTTTTTTTGAATATTTATGATGGCAAAAGTAATAAATAGAAGTTAATTTGTAGGTTTGGACCTAAAAAATTTTCACTATCATTACTCATCCTTTATGAAATTCAGATACTCGTAATTTCTTACTGATAAGAAATGATAAATCATCTCTCCCATAACAATAATACGTTTTATGTTACTTGTCTTTTGCTATACCCGTTACTTTCCTATGTTTTTTTAAAAAAGGCCATTAGGCATAACTCTCTTGTAGGATTTCATAGTTTCTTTTTCGTCTCTCTGTCTTTCTTCTTCCTATTTTTCATCGTACTTTCTCTTTTTGCTTTGTTGAAAAAATAAAGAAAAAGTCCCTACAAATTTGACTAAAGATGAAAAATCACAAGGTGAAGTACGTATTCAACCCCCCATTATAAGAACGAGTAAAAGAAAAATATTTGAACTTTTTACTCTAAACGATATTCGAAAGAAACTGTTGTGGTTTGTAGAATTAATTTTTTTTCTTTATTGTTGTAGTTCTAATCTTCAGTTTTTATAGAATTTATACAATTTCTTTTAAAAAATTGTAAGTATTCATTGTATGAGATCTTTTTTTTTTCTTAGGTAAGGAATAATAATTGCTCCTCCATATGATTATTTATTTTGTCTTTCCAATCTCATACATTTGTGGTGTTGGAAACCCGTTGAAAGGATCCAATTTTTTTCATTAAGTTTCATATTTTCTTGAAAACAACTTTTTTAATTGTAATAATGAGAGGCACTAATAAAATTAACATGCACAGATAATATATCTAGAGATTTTTTATATATATGTATATATTATATATATATGTGTGTGTGTGTCTCAAAATAGGCAAAAAGATAAATGCAGATTATTAAACTTTCTGTTTCTACATCTTTAAGATGTTACATTATCATAAATTCAATAGTATTGTGAATGTAGTGCTTTCTCTTCCATTTTTTAACTACAGTATCAATATACTAATATTTGTAATGTAGTAATTAACATAGATAAAAGTGATATTAGTAATTTTGTATACACGCGGAGTAGTTTGTTCTAAACTTCCAAGACTTCAAAAAGTTTCCCATTACCAATCCCAAATTTCTTGGGCTCTCATTTCGCGTACCAACCAGATTAGACCCCACAAAACAACTAATTGTGCTATTAAAAAATAAAAAGTTACTCGCCTAAACCCCATATAAGAACCCGTGTACACCACATTTATTTATATTCATTTCCTTGCTAATGCTTAATGTACACCCCCACTTCTGTCTTTTAATTAAGACCTCATCAAGAATAATTTGAGTTTCACTTTTTTGCGTCGTCATTTTTCATAGCACAACTGAAAATGTCGAACCATGCAGTATTGTTAATCCTACTAGTACTCTTACCACTACTTTTCCCGATCCAGATGGTGCTTTGTTCCTGCGGCCTGAGCTCCTGCGGCGGAACTCCGATCAAATATCCATTTGGAGTCGACGATGGATGCGGGTCCCCGAGTTACCGTCACATGCTCGACTGTTCGGGGCAAGGCCATGAGCAGGCCTTGGTCTTGCGGAACCCTTCAGCTGCCAACTCTTGGGTCCGTATCCGATCCATTGACTACGCTGCCGGAACCATGATCGTCGTTGACCCGGGAATGTCAACTTGCTCGGACCTTGAACCCGCCCGGGGAACTGGTATTCCGAACCTACAATACTCCGCCTTCATCACCCCGTACTCCATGAAAAACGGGTTGTTCCTCATGAACTGCTCCGGCGATTCGCCCGTCCTTTCAAAACCCATATGCTTCGATAATATCCCCGGAAGCCACACTTGCTACGAGCTCTACGAGGCTTGTAGTTCGTTCAAGGTCATCGCGGCGGCGGTGGCGGCGTTGCCACCGTGCTGTTTCACCACTTATGATACGGTTAGGAACATGAGCTTAAACAACGAGTTGAAGTGTTCCCATTACACCAGCGTTTATGATACAAATGGATTGAAGGAGGGAACGGACCCGGTGGATTGGCAGTACGGGATGAAGCTGTCATTCTACACTCCGGCCGGTTGCGACGCCTGTCACAAGTCCGGCGGGGCTTGTGGGTATGACGTCAACACTTTGGGGTTGACTTGCCTCTGTAACCCGCTATTGAATGCGACCAGAGAATGTGGTAAACTTTTTATTATTATTATTTTAATCTAATCACTTTTTATATACAACAAGTAATAGTAATCGTAGTATATACAAATAAAAAATAGCATTGAATGTCTGAAACAATCGTTAAAGAATAATAACTGAGGGCGAAAATGTTTAACACTAATCCTCTTTGTTTGTTGTAATATATTATACTCCATCCGGGAATTGAATTACCATCTAAGATGTTGTGTTTCAACCTTTTAAAAGAAACACAAAGTTTAAAATAATTGAATCAAACACGAGCAACATTAAGTTTTTATAGTGCCTTTTTTTTTTTTTTTTGGGAAGGGGGGAGGGGGTTCAAGTTATATTTTTCATAAGTTTGGAAAATCTTCAAAACTTTGTAAGCTAATAGACTAATAAAACCAGTAAAAAAGGTGTCGCATCAACCCTGGTTTGGCCATTTTTGATCCCTTGTTTCATCCTCCTCTTTCTAGTATTTAATTTTATTTTATTTTTTTATTTTTTTTTGGGCAGCTCCAGGAACTGTTCCATCAAAGAAAGGAGGGTTGTCAACTGTGGCAATAATAATAATAATAATGATAATAGCAGCAACCTTCTTGTTGGGAGGCGTTGGCGTTACTTTCCTTGCAGTTAAACTGAAAGTTGGAGAGAATTGTATAATGAACTGTTTCAATGGAAAAGTTAACAATACCAGTAATTACTACAATAGTAATAGTAATGGTAATAGCAAGAGGTCTGAGGCTGAATTGCTGCGGAGGACACCCACATCGTCTACTAAGAAGGGGCAAACTAGAACAAACTCTAACCAGAGTGAAACTCGAAAAGGCTAGGTTGTGGAGGTTCAATTATGCGCGTGATATTTTTGTACCCTACTAAGAAGGCTCCGTCTTCTGCAGTTTTTCTGTTTTGATGAATGTTTTTCTTTTCCTTTTTCCCCTTAAATTCCACAATACAAAAGTCTTGTTGATCTTTCACCAAAGGAGGAAGAGTTGTATCGTATAATTCATAATTGCTCACACTGCGGAGACCGCATTGTCGCGTTGCTAGAGTTTGCAGTGTGTAAAAATGGGAGCAAATAGAGTTAATTAAATACTAATTGATCGACCAACATCATTTATAATTTAAAGAGTAATTTAAAATGACCTAGAGAGCCTGAGAATTCGTTTGTTGAACAAGTTGACATGGCAACATCTAATATATACCTTCAATTACACGTTTGATGCTTTGTGTTTTGATTTGAGTCCGGCAGCGGAACCTTCATAATAATAATAATGTATATATTAAGGACCTATCAGACAAAATTAATTGACAGAGACTCTCAATCCCTCTACATATACATTTTTGTTACTCTTGTTTTTTTCCCGCTCATTCGCCACATTATGCTCTACTGACTAATCCTTGAGTTCGAAACAAAACCCACTGGCAAACGTCACGATCAGGGATTTTAAAATCTTTAACAACCTTGCTCGCATCACAGTTTTGTTCGTATGCACGTTGGAGGCCCCCATGCAATTTGTATACACCTTATTATTTTAACTATTAAAATTGATCCACTATCTACATTATTTTAGTGCTTTATTAGTGTTCAAACATTGACCATGAATAAGATTGTTAATTTACTCGGAATGAAAAAACATAGTGTACATGATCATTATCCGTTTAGCTTTGGGATGCCATTGAAGTTTTAGCCAAAATTTCTTGGTTCATGTTGAATACCTACCAAATCAGACCTAAAACACAACTACTTCCTCCGTCCCAAAATTACTAATTTTGATTTTCATTTGTAGTTCAAATATACAGAAAAAATAAATTTCTTGGTTCATGCTGTACAATTAGACCCCACAACGACTTCACTTTCCTATTTACATCCATAGATTGCCCAAACATTCGTTTAAATTGCCCGGTAATGGTTTATTATATATATTACATTACATAAGTTTTCTGAGCTCAAACTTCCCTAAACATGTTGAATGATGCACTAAGTAAAGCAAAAAAACTAGTACTACTGCTATTACTGCATATTCCAATCCAGTTGGTGCTCTGTTCTTGCCAGAGCTCCTGCAGCGGTATTTCGATCAAATATCCATTCGGAACCGACGACGGATGCGGGTCCCCGGATTACCGCCACATGCTGGAGTGTTACAAGTACGACAATGGACAGAAGGAAGGCTTGTTCTTGCGGAGCCCTTCCGCCGGCGACCGGTGGGTCCGCATCCGATCCATTGACTACGCTGCCGGAACCATGCTCGTCTTTGACCAGGCCGGAATGTCCACTTGCTCCTATCTTCAGCCCGCCAGCAGCGGTCTCCCACAGCTGAAGTCCGCCTTCATCACACCGTCCGCCGGGAATGGGTTGTTCCTCATGAACTGCTCCGGCGATTCCCCCCTGGCCGGCAAAGCCATCTGCTTCCAGAATAGCCCCGGCGGCCATTCTTGCTACGAGCTCTACCAGGATTGTACTTCATTCCAGGTCCTCACGGCGGCAGCCACAGCTCTGCCACCTTGCTGTTTCACCACGTACGATATTGTGAGCAACTTGAGCTTGCAAAACGACTTGAAGTGTTCGCATTATGCCAGCGTCTATGATGTGTCTCGGTTGAAGGAAGGAGAAAGTCCAGCGTTATGGCCGTACGGGATGAAGCTGTCGTTCTCAGCTCCGGCCGGTTGCGAGGCTTGTCGCAAGTCCGGGGGAACATGTGGGTATGATGTGGACACTCTGGGGTTGACTTGCATCTGTAACCCGTCTGTGAATGCCACCAGTGAATGTGGTTGGTAATTTTATACTACCTCTTCCGTCCCAAATGATTATTGTCCGATTTAGATTTCAATTTTTCTTAGTACAAAATATATTAAAAATTGAAACAGAATGATAATTTTGGGATTGGAATGATTAATACGTTGTTGTTGGTTTTTTTTTTTTTTTTCCAGTTTCTCTTCTTATATATCTAATTTCTTTGGTGTTTGATTGATTGTGGTTGGATTCTGGCAGCTCCTGGAAGTGTTCCATCAAAGGAGAATATTTTTTGGTCTTCCATAGCAAAGATTATTTACGTAGTAGTGGGAATGCTGATCGCTGGTTGGTCGGGGGTTTGTTTGGCAATAACACTAAACATTAATCAAATAATCTGTTGTTGCAGCGAGAATACTATCAACCATATCAAGGAAACAAGTAAGAAAGTAAAGGAAAGCATGATTAGTACTCTTAAAGGTTCCAGTTCCACCTCAAAATCCCGGAGCCGGAGGTGAAGGATGACATGGTCATATCTTTTTATGGATTTATCATTCACATCGCGGCCGGCCGGTTATATACTGTTACTCATCTTGGTACTTGGAGGGTAGGAATTGAGGTTTTGTTGTTTGGACATACACGGAATGGAGTAAGCCAACTGTGTATCTACACCAATTTTGATTGAAGAAGAAGAAGAAGAAGAAGAAGAAGAAGAAGAAGAACGAAAAGATACATGAATATTTCATCAGTTTACCTCTGTTATTTCTTGTTTATTAAACAAAAATGGGGAAAAAAAAAAAACAAGATCTTAGTATATTTGTGAGTGGTTTGTTATCAAAAGAGGTTAATACGTAGAGTGAATGGTATGAAATTATAATTAGCTTATAATTGCAATATGACAGGTTGAATGCGCGGTTTCTTATTAATAATTTCCTCCCATTCAGTTTATACATATATACTTTTATAATAATTTAATTAATTAATTGGTTTTCCGGTTGTCACGGAAACAGGGAATAAGCAAATTTAGAAAAGCTTTTTAATTAAGAAAGAAACCGAAAAGGTTTCGGAATCGAAATCCAAACCCTCACGAAATCTCAGTCCTAGGGTTCCTTCCTCCTCATAAACAACGATCCGCTTCGTTCCCCTAGAATACATTATTCATACACCCAACCAATTCCCATCGTCAATCCACCAAAACTGATTTGCGTTTCTCTGATCTACGCGGGTTCACAGTCATGAAGATTCCAGATTCAGGCAGCCATATGGAGAGTATTGGATCCATTGAATCCCCGACAACAACAACAACAACAACAACAACACCGGAGGAAGAAAGCCGGATTATCAAAGAGCTGTCGCAGAAAGCCAATTCTGAAGTCCGGGAAGGCGACACATATTATGTCCTCTCTACTAAGTGGTATCTCAACTGGCAGAAGTATACTAGTACTGGGCAACAACCTTTTTTCCCTCCTGATGACCATGAACAACGTGAGCCTTCTTCTTCCACTGTGCCGGCACAGAGGCCGGGCCCAATCGATAACTCCGATATCATTGATTCAGATCAAAGAGACGCTGATGATGACCCTCAGCTCCGTAGGACAAAGTTAGAAGGGCGGGATTACGTGCTCTTGCCCGAAGAAGCGTGGGAAAGGCTTTATTCATGGTACAAAGGTGGACCTGTTATAGCCCGGAAGATGATAACTGTTGGATATGTGAAGCAGTTGGTTGTTGAGATGCATCCTCTCTGTCTTAACTTGATCGATTCTAGGGATGGAACTAAATCTGTTTTAAGGTTGAGCAAGAACGCTTCTTTGCGTGAACTTTACGATGTAGTTGGTAGGCTCAAGGGGTTAAAGGAGGAGCCTGACAAGTTTCAGATTGTGGACTACTTCAACGAGACTAGGTTGTCTCCTTTAGATGCTTCTTCGGACCGAAGCCTGGAGGATTCTCAACTTCAGATGGATCAACAAATCCTCCTTGAGGTGAAAAATAATGATGGATCTTGGTCTTCTTCTTCTGCCACAGAAAAGACTACTGGCAATGGCCTGGCACTTGTTCTCAGTGAACCCGCCAGATCTTCTTTTAGCATTGCAGGAGGTCCTACTTTGTCTAATGGCGGCTTTTGGACGACTAGTCTCAGCAGCAACAGCAGCAGCAATGTTTACAAAGGAATAACTTTTGGTGCATTGCGTGAAGAAGAAGAAGAAGAGATGGAGGAGGAGGAACAGGATCGCACAAGAGGTTTAGCTGGACTTCAGAATTTGGGCAACACTTGCTTTATGAACAGTGCCCTTCAATGTTTGGTTCATACACCATCCCTCTTGCAGTATTTCTTGAACGATTTTTCTGATGAGATCAACCAAGATAATCCTCTAGGGACCAATGGCGAGCTGGCCATCGCTTTTGGCAAGTTGTTGAGGAGATTATGGTTGTCGGGGGAGGGAACCGTCCCGCCTCGTGGCTTCAAGGCAAAACTTGGTAGTTTTGCTCCACAGTTTAGTGGTTATAACCAGCATGATTCTCAGGAACTCCTTGCCTTTCTCCTTGATGGGCTGCACGAAGATTTGAATCGCGTGAAGCAGAAACCATACATTGAGGCCAAAGATTATGATGGCCGTCCTGACGAAGAAGTTGCTGATGAGTTATGGAGATACCACAAGGCTAGGAATGACTCTATCATTGTGGATGTCTTCCAAGGTCAATACAAATCAACTTTAGTGTGTCCAATTTGCAGCAAAATATCGTATACCTTCGACCCTTTCATGTACTTGTCGTTGCCTCTCCCATCAACGGCGATGCGAGACATGACTGTGACAGTGTTTCATGGTGATGGAAGTGGCCCCCCAACGCCTTATACAGTCACGGTTTTAAAAGGTGGATGCTGTAAAGATTTGATCCAAGCTTTGGGAACTGTTTGCGACCTAAGGATCGATGAATATCTTCTTCTAGCAGAGGTGTATATGCATAAAATATATAAGTACTATGAGGATCCTTTGGAGTTGCTGACTGAGATAAAAGATAATGATTACATTGTTGCCTATAGACTTTCCAAATCGGGTCCGGACATGACAAGACTAACTATAGTTCACCGAGAAGAAGAGAAAGTTTTCCAATACTTATATTTAAATCACGGGGCTTCCCAGAGAAAGCTTTTCTTGACACCACTTGTTACTTTGTTGGAAGATCCAGTAAAATCGGCTTCCCAGATTGATCTGGCTATTGGCAGAGTCCTGGCTCCATTGCTTCGAGAAGGAACTTTACCAGCTACTGATCACGGGAATGACCCGATGAAATGCGATGATAGTACTCAGTTAGAACCTGGATCAGTGCCAAAAACTGCAAATATAGAACCATCACAGCCAGAAACAACGTAAGGAATCAAGTCGCCATTTCAACTTCTTTTAGCTGATGATAGATGGTTTGCTCGCAAACCAATCTTCAGAGACACTCCCCTGGAATTGGATGGTTCTGTGAATGTGCTTTTGGATTGGAAGGAGAAAGCGAAGGAGTTATATAATTCTGACAAGCTCAGGGACATTCCTAAGGTTCAAAAGAAAGACGACGTTAGTATGGAGAAAGCGAAACCTGAAACCATTTCTTTGTTTTCTTGCCTTGATGCCTTTTTAGAAGAAGAACCATTGGGGCCTGATGATATGTGGTATTGTCCACATTGCAAGGAACATAGACAAGCAACTAAGAAGCTGGATCTCTGGAAGTTACCTGATGTATTGGTCATCCATTTGAAAAGATTCTCATATAACCGATGGTTCAAGAACAAACTCGACACATTGGTAGACTTCCCGATTCACAATCTTGATTTAAGCGATTATGTAAAAGGGAAGGATTCGGGAGAAGGATCTAACAACATGTACGAGTTGTACGCGGTTAGCCATCATTACGGTGGGCTAGGCGGCGGCCACTATTATGCTGACTGCAAGTTAAGTGACAACAGATGGTACCGCTTCAACGATTCTCATGTTTCTCCGGTCGATGAAGAGAAAATCAAGACATCGGCTGCTTATGTGTTGTTCTACCGGAGAGCAGGAAGTAGTGATACCTCTAATGAAACAACAATGGGTGAGTACACAAATAACATCATCATGGCTGACTCATCTTGAAGCTGCTCTGCTAATAATGATATGGTTTTCCAAAACAGGGATGTATGCTTCTTCTAGTACAACAAGCCTTGCCCGGGTCGAGTTGAAGATTTTTCTACGTCGTCAAATGTTGTTGGCGAAGAAGCTGGTGAGGAGAGTTTTGGAGCGTAAACTGAGGTGGCCCTTCTTTGATTTCCTTTGTGTTCCTTTCCTTTGAAATAAACTCAATAATAATATATATTTTGGCCTTCTTTAATTAATTTCCTTTTTTCCTATGAATTAGTAAATCTTCGGTTGCTGACAAAATTTTGCTTAACTTACGCTGACTAGCTATTTGTTATATATACATTACCAATGGGAAGAACAATCGACTAATAAGTAATAATTGATAAAAGCTTGTTGGCTTTGACGTCTCGATGAAGATATGTCAACGAAGTACTGAAAAAACTCGTCGCATTTTTGTAAGGCATACAACAGCACGCGACAGTCAACCCGACAGTTAAAGCATTATTAAAAAAAGCTTGTCGACCTTTACGTCTAGAAGGAATTATAGCTCGATGAGATATAGTCAAGACAATTTTTTTTTTTCAACCACGACTTTAATCGCGGTTGATCACTCCAATTGTGGCGATGATCAGTTAGACGTACCACATGCTTTGTTCATATAAATGTACGTCGAGAGACATGAAAGTAGAAAGTAACTTTGCGGTGAACAGTTCGAATCACTCCAGCTAACTTTGAAATGATCATTGGCCAGTTCGTCATTGTTATATATTCTGAATGATTGATTGTGTCACCTTGATAGACCTAGATTTCAGTGACAGAACAGCAGTAGAAAGCTTGTTTGTTCTGGAATCTTTATTTTGATGCTTTGTGTTTTGATTTGAATAATTAAGTAATACTCTCTCCTGTGTTTAATATGAGACATTTTGACTTGTCCTAAGTTTCACATAATATGTATTTTTAACCGACAAAAAAACTTTAAAAACATATTTTCACATCGTTATATTCTCTTGGTTGTTATGAAATATTCTCTTGGTTGTCCTACGATAAATCAAAATACTGTAGTACTAAAAGTTAAGAACCCCTCAAGCCAAATTAATGAACGAAGACTCCCAATTCCTATGTACTACATTGTTGTTACACTTTTTTCCTTTCCTCACATTTAAGACAATTTGCTGTATCGACTAAACCACACGGGTGAATAATGTGTTATATTGTGGATTAACCTTAGTTCCTACTGTCACACCTAGTAGCCAACTTAGAGGGAAGAAAGAGCTGTCGTTTTTGGATACGCGGAGTAAACCAGCTACACAACCCGATTCCGATACATAGGTGACTTCTGTTTTCAGATGTAATAAAAAAACAAGAGGAAGATGTAAGAAAGAAAAGCTACATGATTCATCCATTTTTCTCCATGTTTCTTTTTTTTTAGTAGTTTCTTTTGGGTACAATGAAATATGGCACGCGATTTGTAATGTCTTATTAGCTAATTCGGTACACCCGTACGTTGGAGGCATGAGAACTCAAATTTTACCAAAAAAAATAAAAAAATAAAAAATCAACTACATTGCCTGATGTAAGAGTATTACTGTACTAATATGTCTTGTTCTTTTATAGTACTAGTACTAAATGTATGGGAGGTGCGGTCTAACCCGGCTAATTTAGAGCTAGCTTTTCTGTTATCAGTTATTTAGAGTAACACACAAACACATGTATGCATCTACAATTCCTAGTAAGTAAACGCAAATGGTCTAAGTCTTCTTTCCCTTTCCAGGCAACGTCATGAATCAAGGTGTTGAATCTCCCGAACAACAATTATTGTCCGACAGTTGTGGAACAAATCATCCTTTAAAACTTTTCTAAACTCCAAGCTAGTGGCGAACCCAGGATTTGCATAATAGAGGAGCGAAGATGTATAAATAAATATATAGCAGAGACAAAATTATAAAAATCTATATATTTAGGCTAAAATTTAGAACGGGTCTTTTTTTAAAAAAGAAAAAATCCGCAAAGGGGCGACCGTCCTACTACCTCTAGCTCCGCCACCGCTCCAAGCTTCAACCCTTTACAGCTCTGGTACACTAAGAAAATATAGGAGATTTAGCAGATACTCTTAAGAGTTGCCAAAAGCGCAAATGTTCGAATCACAAAGATTGCAAATGCTGGATTCCCATTGGTCTTACATTCAACTTTGTAATTCTTCACAGTAAATGTACTTTTTTGCTTTATCAGCCAAAGATCCTCCTTTCCAAAAAAAAAAAAAAGGAAAAAACCTCAAAGATCCTTGTAGTAAGCAGAAGCAACTTGTAAGTCTAGATTAGATCTCTTTTGTACAATTAAGTAGAATATAATCATCGAAAGGGAAAATGTGATCGTTTTTATGACTAAGTAAACATAAATGTGGATGTCCTAATATATCTCGTAGGAAAAGAACTAAACACTTTACATGCATAGAGCCCCAATACCAGAATCATTTCGGCCTATAATTATGAGAGGGATTAAGTCTGTTGTTTTTACTAACGTATATTTAATTTCAATCACAGTGTCATCCGTCTTCCAATTGTGCAAACACTAATCAGAATGTCATCAATACTAACATGTGATTCTTTTCTGGATGCATTCGTATGGATCAAGTTGTTCACATAAAAAGCAAACAAAACTATCACAAAATCGTTCATCAACGCTATAAGCCTGGTATTAAAACCTAGAAACATTTTAAAACCCGAGTTGAAAAAGGATTGAACAAGTGATTCAATTGAAGACTCTAGACTATGATTCATAAGGTATAGAATGAGTAGAAGATAAACGGGAAAATTTATCGCCGGTGCCAAAATAGTGGATTGTTTGATTTTTGCAGAAAAGTCCTTCGTTTTTTCATTTTTTATTTTCTTTTTTAGACAAGAAGGAAAAAAAACCAAATTAATTTACGAAAGTTATTTTTTTTTCTTTCTTTTCCGAGTAAGAATAGAAACCGAAAGCCTCATGGAATCTCAGGCCCTAGGGTTCCTTATAAATTGTTTTTCTTCTTCACCCCTCCGCTCTAAACTTATTTTTTCATTCTCAAGTAATAATTTTAATTTTCCTAATAAATATTATTCACCCAAACTTTCAATCGCCCTGTAGTAGTTGGTTCCCTGGGGTTTGAACCATGACTTCAGGATTCATGTTGGAGAATCAAACCATAGAATTCCCGACAACTCCAGAGGAAGAAAGACGGATTATTAAAGAGCTTTCGAGAAAAGCCGATTCCGAAGTCCGGGAAGGCAGTACATATTATGTCCTCTCTACTAAGTGGTATCTCAACTGGAAGAAGTACACTGAGCAACCTGTCGGGCTTTGGCCTTCTTCCTCTCCGGGCCCAATTGATAACTCCGATATCATTGTGTCAGATCAAAGCAGCAATGCGGAAGACCCTCAGCTCCGCGGGACATTGTTAGAAAGGCGCGATTACGTGTTATTGTCGGAAGAAGCGTGGGGAAGGCTTTATTCATGGTATGAAGGTGGACCTGTTATAGCCAGGAAGATGATTGCTGTTGGAGACTCGAAGCAGTTGGTTGTTGAGATGTTTCCTCTGTGTCTCAGGTTGATTGATTCCAGGGATGATAGTGAATGTTTGGTAAGGTTGAGCAAGAAGGCTTCTTTAGGTGAACTTTACGAGGTTGTTTGTCGGCTCAAAGGGGTGGATCCAGGAAAGGCAAGGATTGTGGACTATTTCAACAAATGGAAACAATCTGTTTTGGTCGCTTTAAATGGTCGCACTTTAGAGGATTCTGACCTGATTATGAATCAACATATTCTCCTTGAGGTGCATAATGATGATGATAGGAGTTGGCCTTACAGTTTTGGCACAGGCTCTATAGGAAATACCCTTTCAAGGATTTTGTTTGGTGGAGATGTGAAGGATGAATATGATAGTATTTTTAGAAGTGTGAGAAAACCAATTAAAAGAGGTACTGCCGGGCTTCAGAATTTAGGCAACACTTGCTTTATGGACAGTGCCCTTCAATGTCTAGTTCATACGCCGCCCATCTCCGACTACTTCCTCAAGGATTACACCGATGAGATCAACCAAGAGAATCCCTTGGGAACGAATGGCAATCTCGCGCTTGCTTTTGGCGAATTGTTGAGGGATTTATGGTCTTGTGAGGAGCCAGCTGTCGCGCCTCGTATGTTTAAGGGAATACTTGGTCGTTTTGCTCCGCAGTTCAGTGGTTACAACCAACATGATTCTCAGGAGCTTCTTGCCTTTCTCCTCGACGGCCTGCATGAAGATTTGAATCGCATAAAGCAGAAACCATACATTGAGGCCAAGGATTATGATGGCCGTCCTGACGAAGAAGTAGCCGATGAATTGTGGAGATATCACAAGGCTAGGAATGACTCCATTATTGTGGATGTCTTCCAGGGCCAATACAAATCAACTTTGGTATGTCCAATTTGCAACAAAATATCATACACCTTCGACCCTTTCATGTACTTGTCGTTGCCTCTCCCGTCCACAGCAACACGAGATATGACTGTGACAGTTTTTCATGGCGATGGAAGTGGCCTCCCAGCACCTTATACAATCACTGTTTTGAAACAAGGCTGCTGTAAAGATCTGATCCAGGCTTTGGGAACTGCTTGCGATCTAAGGACTGATGAATATCTTCTTCTAGCAGAGGTGTTCCTCCACAAAATACATCGTTACTTTGAGGACCCTGCGGAAGAGCTGGCCACGATAGTGGATAGTGATCGCATTGTGGCCTACAGGCTTCCCAAACGGGCTTCGGACTTGACAAGACTAGAGATAACTCACCGACTCCTACAGAAATCTTATGCATTTTACGGTCCCCATGGAAAGGATTTGACACCCCTTGTTACTTTCTTGGAAGATCCAGAATCCGATTCAGATATTGATGTAGCTGTTAACAGAGTTCTGGCTCCATTTCGACGAGAGGGATTTTCATGTGCCATTGATAATGGTGTGTTAGGAATCAAATCATCACCTCCATTTTCCTTAACTAATGATAGACAAATTGCCAGAGACACTGTTGGTCGGTTTGTGGGAATATCTTTGGATTGGAATGAGAGAGACTGTGAGTTATATGATGCTGACAGCCTCAAGGACCTTCCTGAGGTTCAAAACACAGGACCTGCTTTGAAGAAACCAAAACAGGAGGAAGCCATTTCTTTGTTTTCTTGTCTTGATGCCTTCTTAGAAGAAGAACCATTGGGGCCTGATGATATGTGGTATTGTCCCAATTGCAAGGAACACAGACAAGCCACTAAGAAATTGGACCTCTGGAGGTTACCTGAGGTATTGGTCTTCCATTTGAAGAGGTTCTCTTATAGCCGATGGCTCAAGAACAAACTCGAGACTTTAGTGGACTTTCCAATTCGCAATCTTGATTTAAGCGATTATGTAAAAGGTAGGGATTCAGGCGAAAGATCTAACGTCTACGAGTTGTATGCCGTCAGTAATCATTCTGGTAGGCTAGGTGGCGGACACTACACTGCTAACTGCCGGTTGATTGAAGGCAGGGGATGGTACGAATTCAACGATCATTTGGTTTCTTCCATCAAAGAAAAGGAGATCAAGACATCGGAAGCTTATGTCCTGTTCTACCGGAGAAAAACAAGCAATGCATCTAAAGGAACAACACAACAGCATAAGGGTAGGAGGGTGAAGAAAGATGGAAGGGTGAAGAAGAGGCTGAAGAAATATTTGGGTGTAAAGCTAGGCAGCCTTTTTTAGTTTTCTTTAGTGTTTCTTGTTCCCTTTGAAATAAACCCTTCTTTTGCTATTTAAGAATTAAAGAGTTCCGAGGAGGCGAGGACGAACAGATCTTTTTTCCTTCTTTTTTTTTTTTTTTTCATTTTTTGGGAAATAATCTAATTCTAATATAGTATTGACAATGGGTATGAATCCTCATTAACATCCTTATATACTACTAGTATATTGTACAATCACAACGATAAGATTAGTGTGATCCAATCTCAATCATCACTAGTGGTTTATTCAAAAAAAATAAAATAAAATAAAATGAATAACCTCACTAGTGACGGCTGCAAAATTTCAAGGGCTCGTCAATTACAATGTATGAAGTATGAACCAGATGAAAAAGTAACAACAGATATTCATTCGAGATATCAGACACAGAAGAACATGGAACGGACAGGTGAAAGGGAACAAACGGGGAGAGAGGTCCAGAAAGACTTTTAGCGAAGATCTTTCTGTGGACTTCCAAACTAACCTCAAAAATCAAAATGAATACATCAGATGAAACAAACTAACTTCGCCCGTGGGATTGGTTTTACAATAGAAAGCAGCGCTCTAGAAACCCTAACAAAAGCCAAAAACCTAGAATGAATTCTCAAATTTGTATTACTTTTAGTATAAATATCAAAATTTAATATAAACCTTAATATTTAGGACAGAGGTGATACTATTAAAAAAACCAAAAAGTGAAGCTAGTAGAAGATCGTTGACATAAGCTCTGAGGGGATATTAACTTCAATTATAGTAGTTGTTAACATCCGGTTTACTTTCAGAAAAGGAAAAAAAGAGAAAGGAAACACTCAAGACCCAAAGTCGGAGGAATTTCTATAGTTTCAATGAGATGATGTCACCCATAAACTTGGGGTTTCTTCATCACAGAATTTCCAATCTATTGAATCCATCTCCAATTTTCAACCAAATAGAAAGTAAGAAATTCTACATTTTCCCCCTGACCATGATTAGAAAATGCACAAATGGCCACAATGAAACAACTCATCATATTCCAAAGCCAAAAACAGCACGAATCTTGTGGAAAATCAGATCCCGCCATCCCCTCTCAGTGTTCTCCACCACAGTTGCATTCCCATATCTGCACCATCATTAAAGATTTTATTAATATTGGCATCAGCAGAGAGGATAATATTGCAGGGATTGTGAAATCGTTCTATAGAGATTCAAACTCCTGGAACCAACCCAGGAAATCATCTTGAATACCTTAATCATGCAAGAGAGAAAAGGTCTCATAAACTTATAGTGTTCAAAATTTTATATCAACAAACAACCACCACCCCCGCCCCCAAAAAAAAAAATGTATAGTGAACCAATCCCAACCAAACAGGGTGGAGGCCAAAAGGTGCAGAAGCAGAGGAAGAAAACCTCCCAAATCCCCCCACTTTAACTAACCTTTCACATTTGACAAAATTAACAATTGACCTCTCATCTTTCCAACTCTGGAAAAGGGGAGAAAACTGGGAAAGAATGTATTCATCCGGCTAATAGAAAGTACCATGCAAACACACTACAAGAGAATACCCACCTGTCTTCTTCTGGGACGTCGCTGTGCACCAAATTGACAATGGTGACTCCGGATTCAGGCTCATCAAAAGTCAGCCTCACCTACAGTTCAGTTATACCAAAAAACCAGTGAGCAAAACCAATCTTAACCAATCTGTTCCATCCGACACAAAATGCATACAAAAAGATGCAAAGGCAGCAGCAAGAGAATGCCAAAAGCAACGTACATTATTAACAACGAATACAAAGCACACTCGGGATGATACATTTAAGCTAATAAGATAACAGAACACCTAATGTAGATAACTCATGTACAACCTACATTACAAGGGAAAATTAGAAGAGAAAGTGCTCAAAAATTGGTAGATTGTACCATCAATCAACTGTGAGGCACTGGAAAAAGATGAGTTATATCTAAGGTTCTTAGCATAGAAGTTCACAAACAAGATGAAAGAAACTCAATTTCTCAAAGGGGGAAGAGAAACTCAATTTCTCAAAGCGGGAGAGAGAAACAAGAAATAAATCAAGCACATTTATACAGGCACAGCAAATTACACATAACAGCAAACATGATGTCCAATTCAATCAGAACACTCATAGTAAACTACTTTTTCTTGAGATATCCCAAAGTCTTATCATACGAAAAACAAACATAATCCATTGCCACGTATCAACTTCGACCAACTCAATTTCCTGTACTTTAACCTTAGCAAATATCAATCGTTGCAATACATGTCCCGCAAAACGCAATGACAAGGGACATGAAGTATCACATATGCCAGTTGGTATATAAACCACAAAAACAGAGTCAGGACTGCAACGACAACAAACAAAAGTAAACAAACACATACGACAACCCCGCAATAAGCATTACTCCTGCAAACGTAATCAAAATAAAGAAAGTACAAGCAACCTTAACACAATCAACCAAATCCCAGTGTTGCTCAACCACTCTGTCAAATTTCCGTTCAACTAAATGGTTCCTTTGTTTATACAGCCTAAAGGAAGCTTTTTAAAATCTTATATGCACACTTTCAAAACAGTATTGCCCATACTTATTCATTCATCAGAGAAAAACACAACTAACCAGCAGTTAAAAGTCACTGATTATAGAAACTCTAAAGGTCAAATAAAAATAACTGCAAGGTAAGAAACATAATCAAATGCATGCATCCTAAAGTTTACACATAAAAAGTTTGAAGGAGACAATTACCATAGAGTGAACACCATCAGGCCAGCTGCCAAACCTCCATTTCTGAACAATCAATTTCCCTTCTTGCAGCTCCACATTTGTCCCCGTCACAGAACCATCAAATATACTGAACTCCCCATTAACCTCCTTACTAATCCTAGCATTACTGTGGGTAAAACCCTTCCACCTATTCTCATCCATCAAAATTTCGAACAAATCTTTAGCCCTACAACTAAACTTCTCCATCATTGTAATCGTCTTAAACCCCTCCTTCTTCTTCTCTTTTTCCTTCTTAACAACTTCCTTCTTTTTCTGCTCCACCTCCGGCAACGCAGCCACAGCCGCCGGCTGCTTCTCACCACTTTTCTTGGCTACCACTTTCTTCACCTCCAGCTCATCCTTGGCGGGCCCACCTTTCGACATTGCAGTCATGAAGGCCCTAACTTGCTCCACCACAACTGGCTTCCCTTTAGCCAAGAAAGCATCTTTTAGCCGTTTCCCAAAAGGCCCATCATCTCTCACGGTAACCCTAACCTCCGAGGGGTCCTCTCCGGCGTTCTCGTCGGAGATATACGGGATCTCAATCGTCCCTTCAGCTTTCCCCAAAGAATTCCCATCAGAGTCTTTCGCCTCGCCTTCCCAAGATATCACCAGACTTAACTCGTAACCCGGAATAATTTTCCCCTTCCGGACATTGACGTAAGCCTCACCTTCCAATTTATCGACTTTCTTAATTCTCAGAAAGAGATTACCTTCGCCGTCCAATACCGTCTGACCGGCGAGCGCCTTGGTGAAGAAGTTCTTGGACCATTCCATGCAGTCGGTCTCGGCCCAGTGCCAGTTGTGGACATTGGCGCCGTCTGGACGGTCTTCCACGATCCATCTCTTGTCTCCACACCCCATCTTAGCCATTATTACACTTCTTCTGCGATTGAGTTTTTGAGATAATCTGTGAAGGTGCTTTTTGGGCTGGAAGGTGAAAATAAAGCTTTGAAACTCTGGGTTGGGAAAGCGAGACGACGAATTTATGGAGAATCCTTTAAGGGGTTGCTGGGTTCTGGATTGTTCGTATGGGGAGAGGGGAAAAAGGGGAGCGAGGAAGAAGAAGAAGAATCTAGAAAGAAAGAGGTCAGCCCTAATTCCAGGACGGCGCCGTTTTGAGAAGGAATTGTGAAAGGAAATTTCAGGAAAAGGGTAAAAAGATAAGTGGGTTTTGGTGTTATACTCCTAATGGGTTCTGTTAGTGGAAGGATCTAGAAGGGGGCCCTCTTGGTAAATGTGTATGGTAACTTAGTAAAATACTGATATCAATAACAATAAGATACATTGTATTTTTTTGTTGATACAGAGTTAATTTTTTGTGCTCATAATAATACAAACTAAATGATAATTATTTTGAAACGAAACCATTCGCAAACCAGCTTTGGAAAATAAATCTTGGGGCTAAGTTTTTCTATTTCTAGAAGCAAAAAATAATTAGGTCAATCGTCATCAACTTACCCCATATATTTCCAACCAAGTTGAGATTTACAATATTCTCAATCAAATTGGGGTATAGGAATTATTTGTAATTGACCTTACCATTATACTCCCTCCATTTTAAAATGTAGGTCCTTTTAAGTTTGGAGAAATATTTCAAAATGTAGGCCGCTTTAGGATTTCAAGGCAAATTAAAGAATAGTTTTCTAACTTCACCCCCAATAAATGATGCTAATCACTTTCCATCTATTTTTGGTTATAGTTCTAAAACAATTAATGAAGGTCAAAATAAACATTTAATGACGAAGCATGGATCTGCACGGTGCCTTAGGACGGGTGGTGAGGATGATCTAGGCGGCAGCGGACGGCCTAAAACCTACAAGACAAAGCCTCGGGTGTCTCCTGAGTGTAGACTCTCCGATACTTAAGTCAATAAGGGAATAAAGAGAATAGAGAGAATGATGTGTATTGTGTATAGAAGGTGTAGAAGATATGTAGAAGATGTGATTTATGGGAGAGGCACCACCTCTTTATATAGAAGTGGTGTTACCTGTTTCCTGAAACCCTAACGGAATAGGTTTAGGCGGTGGCTTAATCTCCAAGTAACCTAATTCTAGGCCTAATAGGCCTAGAATTTATTTTGGACTCGTCAAGTGCCTCTAGCAAGCCATATTCTCGAGACTTGATGAGAAGAATATGGGTTGCTACGAGTGTTGATGTTTCCTTGAGTTTCGTAGTGTTGCCCCAGTTCTCGAACTCTTTCGTTCTCGGGTGTCACCTATATAAGATAAAGAGAGATAGAATGTCTCGAGGAGATCTTTGTGTTAGAGAGTTCCTTGGTTGCGCGGTGGACCGCGAGTATCCTTGTTTGCGCGGTAGATCGCGAGTGTCCTTGTTTGCGCGGTGATGGCGTGTCAAGCCACACAAATAAATTAACCTACTTCAAACTGCGTAGTATAGAGAAGTAAGGTCGTCTCCTCAGGGAATGATGGATTATTTCTTTCAAACTAATGCAAAGATGGATTTTTGGATTGTTGTTCTAAATCTATGCTAATGAAATTCAAATAACAAAAACTAAATAAATGAAAAGAAATCAAAGTAACAGATTTATTACTCAAGAGACGGATAACTCAATTATTTCATTAATCATATGCTCCTAAAACTACTCTTGCAATTTAAGCATTCAACCAAAGATCTATTAGGATAGCCGTAATAAATCAATTAATCTCCCTAAATTAACTAACCAAGCCTAACACTCAATTAGTTCTTATCATAATTCGGCTGGACACGATAGTGTTCCATACCAAACAATGACAGCATAATTACCAAGGAAATATAATTGAACCAAAATCTAAACAATTGAGATAGCTGCAACTATTCAGACTTTGCCTCATTGATTCCACATTTAAACTAATATGCATATTCAATGTCTCACCAATACATATGCTTTGTCTAATTGTTACTCAGTACTGCCGGTTCTTGTCTATTACGTAACATTCAACTAGCAGATAGCACTAGAAAATAAATAACAAATCAAACTGTCAATTTGAATGATATCTACTTTCATAACTCAATACAAGAATCAAATACTTAAATTATAAGCAAGAACAATAAATTAAGAACAAAACCTCATAATAGAATAATTGAATAAATCCCTTGAATCAAAAAGAAAAATTTAGCCACTCATGGATGCAACAATGAGAGCTTTATTCTCCATGAAAAACAAAAAGGGTTGGGAAAAACGAAAGGGTTGGAGGAGCTTGCTTGGCCTCCACACGGCTGCTCTCTAAAATAAAACTAAAAGTATATTTATATGGGAAATTTAGGTCAGTCGCTGGAAAAGAAAAATTAGTCCACGATTTGCATCTTTGGTCCCTCAAGTTTGTAGTATTTTTACTTTTACCTCAAAACTTCTTCAATTTTGTATTTAAGTCCCTAATCGTGCAAAATCATCCAAAACAGCTTTAATCTCTTATTTCCAACTCCTAACAAGAAATAATAATAAAACTATGAATTAAACCCATCCGAGTCCATAAACTAATAAAATATCAACAATTAAAACACAATTTATGGACTCTATCACGCGGTGAACCGCGAGTACCCTTGTTTGCGCGGTGAACCGCGAGTGTCCTTCTTTGCACGGTGGACCGCAAGTGTCCTTGTTTGCGCGGTGGACCGCGAGTATCCTTGTTTGCGCGGTGGACCGCGAGTGTGTAGATCATTGAGATGCAATACAAGATAATAATGACATGTAGTAATAAAATGCTCCTAAGGAATATCCGTTCAAGCAGAGAATGTTTGGATGATCTCTCAAGTTCCTTGCCCCTAGGGGGTTTTTCAGTTTGTGCGCCGAGTACGTTTTCCTCGTTGAAGGCAACCCCGAGGTGATTTTCCTCATTGCAGGGTGATGGGCATTTTCCTTAGAGGGTTGCTTCCTCGAAAGATTCCTTTGATCGTGCTCAAAAAGATATCATGATATGATAGTAATATGATAATGATATCAGATATTAAAGCATGAAAAGGTTTTAGAAGTACCTCGATCTCGTAATAAATTGATTATTCGAGAAAGTGTTACCTCGATTCCGAGAAGGTAGTAGTTGAGTAGATAAAAGTCGAGATACATCTTCTCGAACACTTCGAGTAGTAGTATTGCTCGAGGGATGGTTGCCCTTTCGAGGAGATGTATCTCTCGAAACTCCAATCTTCGAAATTGTCTCTTGCTAATCTGCAAAATTTTAAAATCTTTAGGGACCAAATAATTAAAATTATTAGGGATGAAGTGGCAATTCTCACATTGAGGAATTGTTCTGGCTGAATATTCTGCCCCTTTTTGACGGATTTTAAACTCCAAGGACTGTTCTTCTCGATCAGTTGTGAAGCAAGTGCGGCTCCTCGAATTCTTTGTGCAACCGAAAACTTCCTTGTGCTACTTATCGACTGACGTCTTCTTGGCCAAATAAAGATAATTTTTTGCATTATCTTCTAGTTGCAAAATCAGAGTAACGAATTAACACCGTGGCTGCCAAAGATAAAAAAGATCTCGTGCTTCGCTAAGAAATTTATTTGCTTGTGAAAACCAAACAAATCGGTCCCACTGGGCGTGCCACTTGACGAAGCATGGATCTGCACGGTGCCTTAGGACGGGTGACGATGATGATCTAGGCGGCGGTGGACGGCCTAAAACCTACAAGACAAAGTCTCGGGTATCTCCCGAGGGTAGACTCTCCGATGCTTAAGTCAATAAGGGAATAATAAGAATAAAGAGAGAATGATGTGTATCGTGTTTAGAAGGTGTAGAAGATGTGAATTATGGAGAGGCACCACCTCTTTATATAGAGGTGGTGTTACCTGTTTCCTGAAACCCTAGCGGAATAGGTTTAGGCGGTGGTTTAATCTTCTAAGTAACCTAATCTTAGGCCCAATAGGCCTAGGGTTTATTTTGGACTCGTCATTTAACACAGAATTAATTATTAAATGATTTTCTCCTTAGTTTACATGTAAAGAGTAAAAAGATTTACATTTTGAAATGGATGAAGTAATTATACAAGAGACCTACTTCTATTGCTACTCAAGGTACATATCATCATTTGGTATATTTATTTCTAGCAACTTCATTAATAGAAAAAATAGTGGAATTTAACCATATCATTTTGGTCTGGTCCAGTATTAGTACATATCTGAAAGAATTGTGTATGATGATTTTTTCGGCTCTATTTGCAATGGACAAGAATATTTACGTAAATACCAAAAATTTAAAAGAAATTAATATCACTAATTAGAACCAACAGCTCTCTCTAGGATTTTGATTCTCTTAATTGCATATAAACTAAAAAAAAATTTACAGCACGGAGTCCAACGTCCACCACAAACATTTCGATGGATGGAACGCCAAAAAGTAAATATGTTTTGCATTTCTCTTTAGTACTTGTTCATTGTATTTTATAATTTCAAAATGAATAGAGTTTTTCGTTTTCCTTGTCAAATTAATTTTACTGTCAGGTTGCAAAAGAGACTTATTGCCACTCTTCCTCTTTTATTTTTGATCAAATTGTCTACATTCATTTGAAATACTGTATTTGGGTTTTCCCTTTTTTTTTTTTGGTAAACGGTTTTCTTTTTTCCCAATTTTCTGGCAGCATCTACATCAACGAACACCCGCCAAAATTCCTCTGATGTTTGCAATCGGAGTCAACCCTCCACAAGTCCATTTCCCTCATTTAGAAGAAGTATTTTCTAACCTCCTTACGATTTGTTCATCATCTACTCCTTCTCCAGCTTGTAATCCAATGAAGGATGCTCTTCAATCCCCCAAAAACCCCAGGAAAAACCCCGCCAAAGCAACCATCATTCAGAAAAAATCCACTGCCAAAAGTGTAAAATTCAAAAGCAGGGCTCAAAGTCAACTCATTGGGACGAAAATCCCAGAAACCCAATATCCTAATAATGATGAAAATGATGATAAAAGTTTGATTCCCAGGAGCTCCTTGCCCACGTTCTTGCAGAAAAATCCAATCTTGGCCTCTGATTTTTACCAAATTGATGCCCTTGAACTTGCCCCGCTTTTGCTAGGAAAGTATCTCAGAAGGGATGACGTTGTTCTCCAAATCACTGAAGTAAAGTATCCAACTTTTGGGGTTTTCTTTTCTTCCCTTTGATTTTCCGGAAATGCATTAATATTGTATAAATGATTTGATTTGGCTGACAGGTGGAAGCTTATAGACCAAATGATTCAGCTTGTCATGGAAGATTTGGCATTACTTCAAGAACAGCACCAGTTGTAAGATGCATTCCTTTTATGCTAATTTCTCCTCGATCGGTTTCCTATTTGGTTTTGATTTGATCCTTTTCACTTTTTGTGATCTGAAGGATCTCTAAGATTGGGTCTCTAACAATGTAATTTCGTATTTTTAATGAGGAAAGTTTTTTGTTTTATACAAGATTTCAAATGATCTTATAATCAATACTAAAGGAGCTTCCTTCATCAGGTTTGTATTGTAGAAGTGTCTTAGGTGTTGGCTGATTTCCTCGTGCAATAAAATGGGTGCTTCAACCGATATTGATGTCCCTATACACAGTTCTGCTGTTGATTACTGCTTCTTGACTATCTTTTTTCAAAGTATTATAAGGAGACTATGATCCTGAACCTAGAAGTAATCCGTTTTGTTAATGAGTTTCTGAGGTGTGTCGGTTCAACTAGGCACCAGAGAAAGTTCCTGTGCCTAGGGAATTAAAGATTAGGATCGTCAGAGTCATTCATTACATTACATCATATACATGTTGCAATGTGTTATGGGACAAAGTTTAACACTGCAATTTAGTTATGGACTTTGGCTTGAACACCTTGTTACTTCTCATTTATCCTTTAAGTTGCTGTGAACACATGGTTCCAACATATTTTGATTTCTTGCTTGTCGCATTTGTGTGTTTGACACAGTTTGGACCCGGCGGACATGCATACGTTTACCTTTGTTATGGTCTGCATACCATGCTCAATATTGTTGCAGACAAAGAAGGGGCTGGAGCAGCGGTTCTAGTTCGTGCTTGTGCTCCCATAAGTGGTAATACCATTTCTTTCAACTTTTCTGCTATTTTCTAAGCATTACTTTTGTCATGGCTGCTGTGCTATTATTTGAAAACACCTTTGGTCACAACTCACAAATTCAGGGATGAAAATCATTCAGCAGCGGCGTGGTATATTGACTGAGAAGCCTGTTCTTCTTACAGGACCCGGGAAGGTAATTCTTGAGACTTCGTTTCGTTTGGCTTCCATAATCTGTTTGGAGACATTGGACTTGACTATTTGAAATAGCAATTGATGCAGTTTGAGTTTGTTGTTTTACAAGGTTGGACAAGCCCTGGGAATTTCTACAGAATGGTCCAACCATTGTCTATTTACTCCTGGTATGCTCGTCTTCTATTTCTTTCTCAATCTACTTTGTGAAGAGAGGGCTACAAAATTTTAGGTTACGAATTTTAACAGATACTCTTCTTGATCAAATGATGCACATACTGTACTTTTGTTCAGGTGGTTTAGAACTTTTAGATGGACCCCGGCCTGAGAACATACTCGTTGGTCCAAGGGTTGGAATAGAGTATGCTTTGCCGGAGCATGTCAATGCATTATGGAGATTTGCAGTTGCTGGTTCTCCTTGGATAAGCGCTCCAAAGACCACATTGGGACCTCCTTAGTGTACATTTGAGCAATGCATTGTTTACACTGAATTGTTACATTGTGATTCTAATGAAACGATCTAGATACTGCATTTTGGTTTTGATTTTGCACCCTCAGTTGAAAACTTCATATACAAGGTAACCAAAAAAGATCTTAAAAATGCCAAATCATCATAAACAGCTTGAACCTGATTCTTTTCTAAGGCAATCACTGAATCCTCCCTATTAAAATTGAGTGACTGAATTTTTTCCAACAAGGAATCAATAGACCCAAGCAAGTTGGTTTGAGGAAAGTAGGATGCTGAGGTCAAAGAGTACCTGGATGCCGCTTCTTTTGCTCCCTTGACGAGCTCGAGTTTTTCCTCAAAATCTGACAAAAGTGCCAGCATTAAGAGCGGAGAGACCCAACAAAGGCTACCGACGACTCAAGTGCATTGCTCTGAGGAGTGAGATGATGAATAGATGACTGAGACAATTCTAAAGCTTCCTGCAGAACTCCAAGATAATTGTCACATGTGCCATGGGATTTAAAAGGGTTGATGCTCAAGTCCTTGAAGTGCGGCAAAGAGAATGAAATTCTTCAAGGATCTCACGTTCACTGCTATCTCATCATCATAAGAACCTCCCAGAAATTCGATGATATCCAGGAGTTCCTCCATTTCCAAATGAGAAGAAGAACTAGTCTTCCTCTTCCGAACCACGTCTGAGACAATATCGAAGGTTTCCTCCATTCCTTGCCAAATCGATTCCACAATCTCATGAAGAAACTTAAAGAATCGACACCATTCCTGATCAGAAGTCACATGATCATTACTAGGTTCCTTCAACTTAAGGTAGAGAAATCGAATTTCCAGAGAACATTTGAGAACAGTCTCCTCCACAGTACACAGGGCAGATTCGCTGCCTGCATCTTCGCCCCCTATCTTTCTCCACTGAAACAGCATCCTCATAAGCCCCAACGAGCACTTCACATTCCGAACCCCGTCTCGTTGCCATTTAGGAAACTCGCGGGTTATGGCTTCTAAATCATCTAAACCAATCTGAATGGAGTTCTCCTGTCAAAAATGGTAGAAAACCAGACCAACATAACTCAGTGTGTAGTGGAGATGTATGGTTTCCCTTCGGAAAAGCAAGAAATTTGCGAAGAACTATAGAATTTTTTTGCCAAACTTGTATCTTCTTGTTTAAACATGAGATGTTGGAAAATAATTGTCAATCAAATTAAACTCACAAAGCAAACACAAATACGACTGAAATTAAATAACAAAGTCGGAGATAAATGTGATGACTTCAGTGATTAGAATTATATAAGTTACTTAACTTCTATATGTCATTGTCAAGTCCGCTCCTTTCCCATCCTCCTTATCTCAATCCTCTCTTATTCTCTAAACTAGAATCTCTTATAGTTATATCAACAAAATGATTTATTAAAATGGAACGGAAGTAGCCCTATAAGATATCATAATTTGTAAGGATTCATGATCAGCTGAAGCATTCCTTTCTACTTTGAACTCCCACAAGAATTTTTTCCCTTGTCTTAAGGCAACAACCAAAAACATCCCTGCATGATCAGAAAAACACAAAACTACTTCCAGATTACAATGAAACAATTACTCCCTCCGTCCCATAATTATTGTCCAGTTTGAATTTTTATTTTTAGTTTAAATTGTACTAACACTGAAATCTGGAACAGGAACAGGAAGATCTTCTGCACAATATAAATAACCACTTTGTTAAATAGATTGCACTTTTGAACGAACAGATTTGCAGAGTAACAAAACAAACAAGGTAAAAAAATTAATCATAATTATCACACTTATTAATCAACTGCAAAAACAATTGTCATCTCATGCCAGGATGAATTGTTTCTCAAAAGCAAGCAATGACAAATAGAGCAACAAAAATTTTTGTTTCGGGTTGTACACGTTGGATGACACTATTAATTCGAGTTCTGTATCACTTTCCTAAATTATAACAGGACATATCCTCAAAATTATCAATGCCACCTTAGAATGTTCCACTATTATGAGCCGAAAGTTACAACTGAAATGAGCTAACCAAATCTTAACTGCACGATTGGTTTTTTTGTGTCCACCAAACTGCTTACCATTCGTGCAATTCACGCGGTTTTAACTTTTTATTAAAGTTAACTAATTTAAGATAGAATCAAAATGATTGCCAAAAAAAGCTAACTAACACAGACATAAGGTTCACTACATCTGTCACTCAATAACCATTTCAGCACCATCCGCTAGACTATGAAATTAGCTTTGAGCAGGTCATTGATGAGCTAGTTTACTTCTTCTTTTTTGTTTTATTTCTTTAAAAAAAAGAATCAATGGTAGATTGTTCTATAGTGCATTTTATTTCCTCTGCAGAACAAGCCATATTTTCCCGTCAAGTCAATTTTTGTATCTTAATTTGTTCTTATATGTGATTCACCTTGGATTATCATAAAAGGGGTGACTTAATTTGTGGCTTGCCTGAAAGAACCAATTAATACTATATCTGAGTTGTTGAGGAAGAAAGATGTAGCTACGATGAACGACTTTGCTGAATCTTCAGGGAATATCGAGCAACCAAATCTGTTTTATTTCGAACTACATATGAGATTACCATTATGAGTTGTTCGTCTACTCAATGATGGTGAAAGTTGGGAACTATTGGAGAAGGACAAATGTTTTGGAGAAGGTTGTCATCCGGATCTACTTAAAACGGGGAATGCAGGGGGAGGCTGGTGCTAACGACTTTGATTGGATGCTTGAATCACCAATTCCAGCTTACACAGGATTTCGGGATCGTTTGAACTTTCAGTTTCTGCTGAATAGCCCCGGGTTTGAGAGTGTTCCTTGTCTTGAGAAATTACTAATGGGAAGAAATTAGTTTTATCATCTTTCTGCATGAACTTATCACTTATGGTAAGAATTGTAGCTATGCATAGTAATAAGAAGGCGCCCGAAACTCGTCTAATAATTAGTACTTGGGGTATATATTTTTGTCTTTCTTCCTCCTTTTTTGTTTGTTTTGGTTCGGATGGTTTAAGAAATACAGCAGTTATACTTGAACTTAAAGTCTTTTCATTTGAAACATTGACTGTTGATGAAAATGGTCATGAACAATCAAGTCTTATACTATGACATGGATTTATTGCAGTTACTTTGGAATAGATCAGTATATGATTATTTAAATCGGCTTGGGTGTACTTAGTGTTGGGTATTTTTACAGTTCAAAGGGCTGTAGTTGTTAGTTTATTAGTTATATGCATCGGTCTTTTCAACTCTTTTTCTCATCTGATCTTCAATCTTGTTGCTTTTGCAACATGGGGACGGTGTATGAATTGGCTGAGCCAAGGAGAGGTTGAAGACAATGAAGATCTGCTAATGAGGAGGATGAAGATGTGTTAGGGAGGAATCAGATTCAGGAGTTTCTTGCGCCTCTTGTAAATTAAGTACTTGATTCAGTGGGAGACTTTACTGTGATGGGTAGCTTCAACTAGCCTTAATCGACTGGTAAATAATAAGTCAGTTGAGATTTGCATAATTCGACTCTGATGCAAGTTATGGAATCTCTAAGTTTGCTCCTGCATGATCTGAGGTTGAAACTGGTTAACCCTAGTATTAATGATAATCATCTTATTTGACCAGGGAAGCATTGAATATCTGCTGTATCATAAGGGATGAGAGAAGAAAAAACAAGTAGAAAATGCAGGAGAGCAAACAGGTTACATATACAGGTTAAGTTATTTTTTAAGTAGTTAAAACCATATATTAAAAAAAAAGAAAAAAAAAAGGTAGTTAAAGCCATATTGTCCCTCCCTCTTAAATCCAGAGCTGTTGGGAGGGACACTCTTTTAAGCATTTTACTCCCTCCTATTGCTTTTTTTCACTTCTTCCATTTTTTAGATTAAAATATCCCTAGAATCATTGAGAAAAGCAGAGAAAGGAACTAAAATACCTTAGGCTAAGCATCTTTTCTCAGATGAAGGTAAAAAAAAGATGGGTCAGGAAGATTTATTAACAATATTCAGAGCAAATACAAAAAAGCTATGAATCCATATGCAATGATCTACATACTTTAGTTTGGCAATATTGGTGAACAACAACAAAGCAAGTTTCTTTCCCAGGGATGATGATTCAGTGGAAAAAAGGAAATGGTAAGAACCTAAAAAGGATTGACCTTTCCAGAGTTAGAAGAAATGGCTGTCAGGGCTGATTTCATTCAAGTAGTAGCCAAATCAACAGCAGCTTCAATATACTTATTGGAAGCAATTGTGGCTGCTTTCTCCATGGATTTGCCCATCTTCCTTGCACCTTCACCTAGCTAGTCATGAAAAGGAATTCCGACGGCTCAAAAATGAAATATCTAGCTAGTGATGGCTTATCAAACTTTGATGTTAAAGTAACTCCACAGAAACATTTACATACAACAGAAACTTAAGAACTGAGACTGTTCTTATATCAACAGCTCAAATCCTTGATATTTAAACAAATAAGAGAAAGTGTACATTGGTTAGAACTAGTTATATAAGGCACTAACTACTTGTTGTCATTAAACAATACGTCAAAACATTCTATGAATAAAGGATTCAACAAGAAATACAAAAGAGAAGACAGATATACACACATCACCCCCTTCCTCTGTGTGACATACGTGCGTAGACATACATGGAGATCAAACCGAAAACAGGAAGAAAAAACAAACAATGAGAAAAGAAATCTTCGCTAATTATATATAAAGGAAAAAGAACTTCGACACAGAGACCTACAAGCCTGTGATCTACAGCTTGTTTATAGGTGATGTGAAGGAACACCCAAAAGAAAACAGCAGTCATTCCAGCCAGAAAAATACGCGTGAGGACATACACAATGCTTTAGTGACAGCAGGATACTCCCTTGGGCTGATCAGAAGCAACCCAAGAAACAGCTGGACACCCACTGAAGAACGTAGAAATGCTATCTGAAATGAAAGTGAATCAAGCAAAGTTAGATCTTCAGAAATTATAAATAAGACATTATCCCAAACGGGAGGATGGAAACGACAAAATTTACCTAAAAGAGATGATTATGTACATAATGATCGAGCGGGACAAATAAAAACCGCCAATGGTCAGTACAGTACTCAATGCTGTACAGTGGAACCACCAAACAATACAAAACCTCATTTTGTGTAAGTACATGAATGCCAACTCCTGTCTATAACCCAGAAGCCATGGTTAAAGCTTCCCACCAGTATCGAGGCGCCAATTACTGTAAAATTCAGTAAAATCAAGTCGAAAGGTCAGAAACTTCAAATCAATATGTTTCTGCACAGGCAACTGGGAGATGAATCCGTCAAACACAGAGGAATATTCACTCGCAATTCCATCAATATCTTGCCCAATATTCCGAAGAAGTTCCCCGGCTCTTTGAGTAAGTGCCTTTCTGCCTTCACCAAGCCAAGATCCAGGTTCAGAAAATTTATCCTTCGACTTGGACCCGGTGTTGGGTTTCTCTCGTGACAACATTGAAGCTTCTGCACCTCTGTGGAAAGTTGCACAGAGAAGATAAGCAACAGGAAAAAGGCCAAAAAAAAAAAAAAAGATATCTATTTGCTGAGACATTATGAATTATCCTCCAAAAAAATATGGACTATACCTCGAATGCAACTCAAAAATGACTTCATATAATCTGTCTGCATGACTACGGAACTGCAATATGAGGTCAAACAAAACGAAGAGAGTTTTATTAAGACTTTGCGACCGCTCTCCCAGAAGAGACTTCTCCACAATTGAATGTAGATACTTCTCGTGTGCCAGAAGCAGATCATCCAGATCTTTAGCTATTTCCATCTCTTTCAAGAAATTGGACCATGAAACTTCCAGGACCTCAAACATGATGTAGTACTGCAAATTCGTAACAAAGTGATTCATCTCGTCCCAAAGAACTTGGCACCTTCTCGATGTCAGAATCAACTGCAGCTTAACAGCCTTTGGCAGCTTGCCAAAGAAACGAGACGTAACACAGTTAGGCTTCATAGTCTTCCAAGCACCAATAAGGGCATGCTCTACTCTCCTAAGCTTCCACAAAAAGTTAAAGATTCTTAGATACCTAGACATAACAGTTTCTGTGAAAATTGTATCTAGTGGAACTCTGGCATCATATTCCAAAGAAAACACATCCCAGCCTCTGTCTCCAGTGTTGTGTGGCATCATCTTAACCCTCAGTCGATCCAATATTTCAGGATCATCATACTGTGCATTAGATGACCTTACAGCAGTTTCCAACAATCCGGCAAGTTTGAATGAACTTATACTGTTAGCTGGCTCAGAAAGCTCGGGACCAACATTATCCATGAGGTATTGAACGAAATCACCTTGCCCAAGGAGCAAATAACGTTTGATCGCGAGACAATGTTCTTTGAACTTGTATTGCTTGTACATAACATCCAACAAATGCTTATCGATCCTCTTTGCTGCTTCTGAGACAAGCGACTCGAGTGCATCAGTTTCACCATAACCAAGATTGCCTGGCCTTGTAGTCGTTCCAGCAGCAGCAGCTGCTTCTGCTGCAGCATCAGCCCAAACACGATCCTCACAACAAACTCTAAGGAAATTAATGGACTTACCAGTCCTTAAGATCCTTTGAGCAAGGGAGGGGGAAATGAAAGAAGGAAGCATGGAGGAATGCAGCCTGTAACCTTCCATCCATAATGACTCCGCTTTAACAGGTTGACTCAACACAAAAAATTCAGAAAATATATCCTCAAGCTCTCCTTCGAGAACCCAACTCCTCACCATTTCAAAGAGAGGAGAACAGACCCTACGAAGTAGCCTATTCATGAAATCATTTACAAGGGGATCTCCATGCTGCGCATGCATGTGAATTGCACCAGCCATGGCCCCACCTTTCAAGGCCTTACAACTATCAACCAAAACCGCCATCAACCTCATCTTCACCATCGGCTCTGCAAACCAAACAGACAATCTCCTTAAAGAAAGATAATTCCCCGAACTTGCATTCTCTGAGACCAGGGGAATGGGATTCATTGCCTGAGCTTCAAGTACTGCGAGCAACTTATAGTATTCCGATAGCTCATCCTGCAAAGCAGCGCAAAATGCTTGTCCTACAGTCC